GCATGCACCTTGGGCCTAGAGAGATGGCCTCCTTGATCAAGGGGATTCTCAGCCTGCCTCCCCCGCCAGTCCAGACGGACTGATAGAGGCAATTGGCTTGGTCGGGCAACCCGCTGTGCCTCTAAAATAGGTAAATTTAGGTGAACCAACTACCCTTAGCATGTTGTTTGGCTACAACTGCTGTGTCTCTAACTGATCTGGTTAGTGACACAGCAGTTGTAGCCAAACAACATGCTAAGGGTAGTGTGTTGTTTGAATACTACAAACCTGTCTCTGAAAGTCTTGACTAGTACAGGTAGTCATTGATCACAATTGGGACCAGAATTTCTGTTGCTAACAAAGTGGTTGTTAGGTGACTCCTGCTTTTATGGCCTTTGTTGCCATAATTAAGCGAAACACTGTAGTTGTTTAGTGAATTGTGCGATCATTAAGTGAATCCAGTTTCCCCTGTTGCAGGGTTGTCAAACTACCAGCCCACGGGCCGGATGCATCATACTGCGCCCACGCCATTGCCGGCAATGGAAAAAAAGCTGAGATACGTCATGACATGTCACGTGACGTTACGAGTTTGACACCCCTGCCTTATTGACTTTGCTTGTCAGAAGCCAGCTGGGAAGGTCACAAATGGTGATCACATGATTCTGGGATGCTGCAACCATTGTAAAAAATGCTGGCTGCCAAACACCTGAATTTTGATCATGTGACCATAGGGATGCTCTAACCATTGTAAGTGTGAGAACTGGTTGTAAGTCAGTTTTTTCAGTGCTTTGAACAGTTCCTAAACAAATGCTTGTAAATTGAAGACTACCTGTGGTCCTTAATGGCCTTATCCCACATACCTTTTAGCCAGTTCACTTTTTCAGAACACCAACTACTTTGTTGCTTGGAAGCCACTTTAGTATAGCATTGTATTTGAAAGTGCCAGCCCAGAAGTCAGGAGACTTGAATTCTAGTTCTGCTTTAGGCACAAAGTGACTTGAGGTCAATCATCCTCTCTCAATCCTAGCAACAAGGCAGCAACGCTGAAATCTTGGCAAGATAACTGCATGGATTCATCCAGGTAGTTGCCAGTAATGACTGACTCAGAGGGCCATAGAAAAAATAGTTATCATTATAGTGCCTGTACACAGGGTTCAGGACCTTAGGCTGACCTTAGGTTAGCTCACAGGGATAACTTTGATGACGACTGCATCATTGAAGCCAGAGCAATAGCACTTAGATTTATATACCTCTCCATAGTGCTTTACAGCACTCTCTGAATTCTTTGATAGACACTGGGCATCTTGCCCCCAACAATCTGGGTCCTCATTTCATTGACTTCGGAAGGATGGAAAGCTGAGTCAACCTTGAGCTGGTCAGGATCGAATCCCTGGTGTGTGGCAGAGTTGGCCTGCAGTACTGCATTCTAACCACTGTGCCACCATGACTCATATCCCTTTTATATATCTCAATAAAAGGGGCAGAACTTCGACTATACAGCTGCAGCCATCATATTTTTGTCCCCATCCCCAGAGACACTCCTGGGAAGTCACCTGCTGACCCTTTGTGAGATGACTGAAGTATCCAAGGGCTGTCCCAGCGTTATTGGGAGTGGCCATCTTGAACAGCATCTCAGTCTGTTTAGCAGCAGGTTCTTAGTTGGGTTTCCTTTTGGGTAAAGTGTAAAAATAAGTGGGGGTAGCTCATTTGAAGCTAGAGCTATGGAGGGAGGTAGAGGGAGGAAGTTTAGTGGCACGGGCTTCCTACAATCACAACAGACAGTAAAGGAAATAGAGAGGCTAAGACAGGAGTTTTCTCCTTGGGGCTTTTGACCACACAGTCGCAGCCACTATTTTGACTTCACTGGGACACCTGTAGCACCAGATTCCAATGGCCAATTTCATCCTTTAGCTATGTATTGTGTAATAAGAGTGTGGAAGAAAAATGTCTGCTCTTTCCTTCTCCAGTCTGACACAGATTTGATTTTCTCTGTAATTTCTCGGCTTCCTGAAGCTTTTGTATCACAGGTTTCTCTAACTGTGTAATTTCTCCTAGATAAGGGTTTCTCAACCTAGGCAATTTTAAGACGTCTGGACTTCAACTCCCAGAATTCCCATTATGGGTCTTAAAGTTGTCAGGGCTGGGAAACCGTGTCCTAGATCAGGGGTGTCAAAATTGCAACATCACATGACTTGTCGCAATGTATTGTGACTTTTTTGCCATTGCCAGTAATGGGGTGGGCGCGGTTTTGCTATGATGCATCTGGCCCTCGGGCTGGCAGTTTGACACCCCTGTCCTAGATCATCTTGATGTCAGGATGAGGCTAGAAAGGAAAAATAATTTGAGTTAAAAAGGATCATTAATGAACATTAAACCAGTACAAAAACAGAAGAAGTCATAGCACATATAAGTACATATGTTGTTCGTCCATCGATTTTCGATGAAGATTTTTCGATGAAGACCTTGACATCTTGTGGGTTATGGGCCATCAACGATGTGTCCGTAGGTGGCTAATAAGACCGATGTTAGCACGGAATGTTCTGCCACATACTGAACAAAGAAATGTAGACACTGTTACTTTAGCATTTGCAGCTCTGGCTTTGCGGAGTGCTCGCTTTTCTTGTGCTAAGATTGTCCTTCTGTGTTCATATGTCTGGCAACCCTGGTACACCAAGGTGCGCCATGTCGGTCGATCATGCGTCAGAAGTTCCCAAGAGATGGTGTTAATATCCAGGGACTTAAGAGAAGCTTTCAACGTGTCTTTGTATCGCTTCTTTTGTCCCCCATGCGATCGCTTTCCTTGAGACAGCTCACCATAGAAGAAGTACATATGTAATCATATGGAGAAATACAACCACTTTAAATATATGTAGTTTCCCTGACCAAAATGATTGTTATTCAAACGAAGGTAATCTACTATGGACAATAAATGTTTACCAGATTTGGATGAATTTGTTCTTAGAATATTTCAAAGATCTTTATTTTTCACCTAAAACAATTTTCCATACTTTTATATAATACTCATCTTAAGGAAATGCTACTTTTTCTGAGGTTTTACACTATCAAACTTGGCAGACAACACAGGAACTGAATCTGTTTCTTATACTGAATTTATATGTGCTAGAAAAAAAAATAATTGAACAGCAGGAATCATTACGAATGATTGGTGATTTTCCCAATTTCTTCAAAAACTTTCAACTACAAGGACTAACTAATTAGACATTGCTACCAAAAATAGTAATATGTGCCAATTTGTTTATAATCCAACCAGTGCAATCTGGAAATATTACAGTTAATGTTGAAAAGCTATGCAAAGTGTAATACCACCTATAGATTATCTTTTGGTCAATTCCTAATGAATTGCTGAAATAGATTTAAAATAAATTAATGCCCCTAAGTGTTGCAGTGAGTTTCTGGAAGTTCAAAAATCAGCATTTCTCCCAAAATATGTTTACATGTTCAAGAGAACCTGTTGTGTTTAATATAAGTATTTGATATAACATTAATGAGATACAAGTGAAGCAAGTGTATACCATGCTTCAGGCTATTCTTGGTTTTAATTGAAGACACCTGGATACTTTACAAAAGATTGATTGGGCTTGATTCATTTGAAACCAGGCTGGTACTTGTGGCAATTTTTTTTTCAAAATATATTTAGAATTTGCTGGGTTTCCATCTATAATTAAATCTCTAATTCTATATAATCCTCCTTATTCCTATTGCTTATGCTGTGCAAATTTATCCTTGTGCTTAAAAAAAAGAATATTGGAAAATGGTAGGAAAGGTGTTAGTAGCAGACTACAGTGGCCCCAATGCAGATTATTCAGATGCTTAAATGTAAATGCAGATGTCAGAATCCACATGCAAATATAATACAGGAAGTGGGTCAGATAGGAGCCATCAAGGGCTATCTACGTATAATGCATAGAGCCACAGATTTGTCAAAGCTACTTCAGTATGATGTGTGAACTCAGAAGATCGCTATAATTGAGCCAAGATGATATGAGCATTGAAAGAAATAGAGAGCTACTGTGGTTACTTCTACTAAAACTGGCACTCTGTTTACTCAGACGATGTACCTTTGATTTCAACACTAGCCAATGTAGATGAGCCAAATTGCTTTATTTCTTACCTGCAAGTTTCCTAAAAGCCCTGGTTTGTTGTTTAGCTGCAAGATTAATGGAGCTTGATCTGATCTTGCAAAATAATCCAAAACTGATCATGGAGCGGACAGTGCTGTTAATTCTTTGCTACCAATGCATCTTCAAGGACCTTTCTAATCTCAGCAGTGCTGAGGAGGACTTTTAGTTTTTATTTTTACTTATATATCGAACTCTGGACTGCTTCCAATCAACAATTAAAACAATATCAATAATAAAACAACACAATACCTTATTAAATGTATTATAACCATAAACATTTAAAAACTGGTACCAAAGTTAAACGTCCATCATACGGTTCCTCATTAAATCCCTCACCCACCTTTCTCTCTGCAGCATTTGGGGGGAAACCCAATTTTTCAATGCTTTTCGGAAGGCTAGGATGATGGAGACCTCCCAAATGTCAGGGGGAAGAATAATCCATAGGGCAGGAGCTGTCACAGAAAAGGCTCCCACCAGATGGAAATATTTAGGGGAAGCATGCCCACCCTCTGTTAGTAGGACAAATAGATGTTCTCAGGGAAAACTACTCAAGAATTAAGATTGCCTGGCCCTGCGCCATATAGGGCTTTAGAGGTAATAGTGCTTGAATTGCACCCAGAAAAAAACTGGAAGCCGAGGTGTTACATGGGTCAACCTGGACATACGTCACTGGGCTGAGGAGGAGTTCCTAAATATTTACAATCAGTTCATTCTTTTGACTGCCAGTCATAACAAATAAGATAAAACTTGCATAGAAGTGGCCAAACACATATAAAATACATTAAAATGTACAAAAATCAATTACATTAAAACAAGTGTTATTGCAATAAATATGTTCTTAAATAAGTAAAATATTTGAATTTCTTCCCCCCCCCCCAGGTTGGCACTGTATGTATACGAATATCTCCTTCATGTTGGAGCTCAGAAATCTGCACAGACCTTCCTCTCAGAGGTAAGAATAGGAACCAAAGCTTGGGGGAGGTGTGCAGAGGGGTGAATATCCATTGACGCACCTCACTTTAGATTTGATCATTGTAGATTGGATATATATTTTTTAAAAACTGGAGGTTCTATGGAGAGGATTTAATAAATGACAAAACAATACAGAGTTTGGAGGTGCTTCTTTCAAGGCAAAATTTGTCGTTTTTTTTTTTTAAATATTTTTCAACACAGACCAGGGGTCATCATACTCTAATGTGATTTGTAGTAATTAAAATAAAATTTTAAATTTCCCTTGAGTAGTTTTTTTAGCAGTGATAATGAAATGATTTGACACTGCCTTTGGGAATGGTGCTTTGGCATTCCAGTTTAGCTCTCAGTGTTATATTTCCTGGTGGTCTTCCATCCATTACTAAGTAAGTCAAAGCATTAATTGCCAAGGTGTTGAGCCAGGTGTGGCCAATTAGTGGGCCATTTTAAACATATGTTTCTGTTTTCTTATTTTCTCCTAGTTACATACTTTTATTCAAGGAATTCCTTTGTGCCTTCAGAGCATCCCTTGGGGATGGGGGAAAAGACAAATCTGAATAAAATGTTAAAATCGAAATGTATAATTGAAAGGTACCAGATGACAGAGCTGTGTAAAATGAATTGTTCTTCTATTTGCTCCATTTTATCTTTCTGATTCAAGTCTCTCAGAAGCACAGTTCGCACTATTACTACTGCAAAATCTTAATAACACTGAATTTGCAATCCAAAGAGCAATCCCCTTGAGCAAAGAGCAAATTCGCAAATAAGTTTGGAGAAAAAAATATTCCTTGGGAATCTTAATGCAGTTATAGCTTAATAATGTCGTTAGTGATTCAAAAGAAAGACTTCTCCAAGGACAAAAGTCTGATCTGGTACCTCCACACCCACACTCTCATGAACCAGATGCCAGAGTTTATCATTTCTAAGAACAGAATAGTTTTGTTGGATCAAGCTAATGTCCATTTTAGTCCTGCAGTGTGTTTCCCATAAGAGGCCAACTTGATGCATCTTCAGTGCTCCTACGAAGAAGATGGAGACATATTTCTCATACAGTAGGGGCTTTTTTTGCAGGAGTTTAGAGACATGATTGCCTTCAGCTTGAGGGAACATCAAGTGATTAAGACCAATAGCTCTTGAAGGGTCTGTCCTCCCTTAGTTTATTCAGCCTACGTTGATCTTCAGTTTTTTAGATTACTGTCCATCACTCTGTCTTAGAATACAGATAGTTCTCGGATTACAACCATTTGTTTGAGGACACTAAAAAAAGTGATTTATGACCACTCCTCACACTTATGACCATCGCATCATTCCCACAATTGCATAATCAAAATTTGTGAGCTTGGCAACCGGCATGTATTTTCAACAGTTGCAGCCTCCCAGGGTTATGTGATCACTGTTGGAACCTTCCCAGCCAGCTTCCCACAAGCAAAGTCAGTAGGGGAAGCTGGATTCATTTAACAACTGCATAATTTACCTAACTGCAATGATTCACTTAGCAACTGGGCAAAAAATGGTCATGCAATTGAGTGCGATTCACTTAACCACCGCCTTGCTTAGCTACAGAAATTCTGGTCCCAATTGTGGTTGTAGGTTGAGGACGACCTGTAATAAATTTCATTCCTTCCTACTGCCAGGTAGGTCACAGTGTCCTGGATTAGTTGGATGGAAGACTGCAGGAAATTCCATTGCTGCTGAAAACTACGTCTCTATGTTTTTTTTTAAATCCAGAAGATGGCAATCAAGGGCAAATTACTCCCATGGTGATGCCAAAATGTCACATGAATATGTGTATGAGGCTGGTAGGAGTTGGGCTGCACTCGAAAGAGGGTTACTTAATTTTTTTTGCTAGTATTCTAAACCTTGTTGGGACTTCCCAAGAAGCCTTCATCTTGAAGTCTTAGCCCTGTTTCTGCAATTAATGCTTTTCAATGGAGCCAAAAGTGTTTTGCTGCTGATTTTCATTTATACTTGGTGTCTGATACATCTCGCTGCAGTGCCCAACAGTAATCAGCCAGAATTGATGGATTCTAGTTCCCCTGATGCTGTTTTTCCATTGTGGCAATGTCCTAGTGAAACCTTTCACCATGTTCATCACTGATTGAACTAGGCTTTTGGGAAGAAATTTCAAGTGTGAATGTAGGAAAGGAATACAATGTACTGCATACTATAAGAAGCTTGTCACCAGCTGAACGTATCCCAAAGAAACTTTTTCATGAGGCAAATGGACTTTCTTGTTTTTCCTTGAAGATGTTTTGCTTCTCATCCAAGAAGCTTCTTCAGCTCTGACTGGATGGTGGGGAATGGAAAGATTTATACCCCTGGCAGACAGCTGGTCATTTGCATTCTTTTAGAGAGTCATAGAGTGGCTTATCTGTGTCTTCAGGGTCACCTGAGTAATGCAAATGGATGTGGAGCCTTCTTGGAACTGTTGAAAGGACTGTGTTGTAGGCTAGAGATAGATGATGTCGGATCCCTCCCCCTCTGTTGAGAGAGGGCTGTTCAATTTTGTCCTAGATTCAGATTCAGCAATCCATCTGCATTTAAAAGACAAAGGACACTATTTTGAAGACAGCAGGGTCCACTTTTTGAAGAGAGGACCACTAGTTTGAAAGAGGGGTCAAAGAGGCAGTCTGTGTCAAAACTGAACAGCCCTCTTTCAACAGAACAAGAAAGTCCAGTTGCCTCATGAAAAACATCTTTGGGATAATTATTGCCTGGATGACTGAGAATCTCCATAGATGTTCAGCTGAATGTAGTTTGGTACTTTGTTGCCAAGAAAATTCTCAACTACATCCTTAAAAGCTTTCCAGGTAATTTTCTCTGGCCCCACTAACATATCATTGTACTGCTTGTCATTGATGATGTATCTCATCTGCGGTCCAACAAAAATGCCTTCCTAAATCTTGGCATGTTCTTCTTGGAAACATTGGTCTCAAATAACAGAACCCTTCACTTTCCTTGTTTATGGCTTTCACAAAATTTTTCATCAGTCTGAACTTTATTGAAGAGGGGGCAAAAATATCTGAGCTATATTCCAAGCAGCAGAACCACTACTTTTAGATCTCCACAGATATTCCAATTGCACTTGATGTACTGGATGTGCTTCAACAGCAGTTCCATATTTTCATACGTTTCTTTCATGTGTGCAGCATAGTCAAGTGGTACTAAAGGGTGTACAAGGCCATTGTATAAAAAGAGAAAATTTACATAAAATGCTACTTTGATAATTTAAATTACAGATTATTTTTGTGATTAGCCACCTAAAATCTGTAAGATAGACCCAACGGTGTTGAGGAAGCAAAATGTTTGTGGTCCAGTAGAGCTCTGAGTGTTGTAGTTCTGCCACTTTTGAAAATGCTAAATTGGGGAAAGCTGGTCTTATTTATTTAATTGGTACTTTATTGCTTCTCCCCAGATCCGGTGGGAAAAGAACATTACGCTGGGAGAACCACCTGGCTTCCTTCACTCCTGGTGGTGGTAAGTAGCATCCACAGTGTTCTCAATTGGATGGTGGGTGGAATGTGTTGTCTAGATCAATGTTTTGTACCTTGTAACTTCAGGATGTGTGGACTTCAACTCCCTAGCCAATAGGGAGAATAACCAGTAACAAATTTTATCAGCTGGCTAGGGAATTCCAAGACACAAAGTCCACACATCTTAGAGTTGCCAAAGTTAAGAAAGGTTAGTCTAGAAGATGGATATTCCTTTGATTATTCAGTGTCAGTCTTTCCAAATATGATACTCTATGGGTGTCCGGACATCACCTTCCACAATCCCTAGCCAAAACTATTTGGAGAGCACAGATTTGGGAAAGCAGGTCTGTGAACATAGGGAGCTATTTCCTATCAGTTTAGCTTATGAAATTTATTACTGGCTATTTTGAATGATGGAGATTTTCCAGGATCTTGGACCAGAGGGGATTTTTCCACTACACACTGGTTGAGATCTTTTTAAGGGGATATGCTGTCAGATATTGAACTCTGAAACTTTTTCAGATAACAAATCAGTGCACTGAACAAGTTTCCTTTCCTCTTTGATAACACCATTAGTATTTGAGAACAAGGTTTCCAGTTGAAGGTACAGCCATGAATGAATCAAGGCCAACAGACATTCATCCTATCCTGCTTGTCAGAATGTGCTGGTAGTCCTCACTTACCAGTAATAACCTCAGTTGGGACCAGTGACTCCACTTCTAAGTGTCACAATTGTTAAATGAACTATCACATGACCAAGTCAGACTTGCAACATTATTTCGGTTGCAACCATTAAGCAAAAAAATGGTGAGTCATTAAGAACAATATCATGTGACCAGCTTCCCCATTGATTTTGTGTGTTGGAAACCAGCAGTGAAGCTCACAATTGGCAATCATGTGATTGTGGGATACTACAGCTGACGTAAAGTGCACACTGTTGTGAAGCTCCCAGGTGGCGACCATGCAACTGTGGGGACGTTGTGACAGCTGTAATTGTGAGGACTGGGCGTAAACCCACTTTTTCATCACTGTCATAATGTTGAACAGTTGCTAAACAAGGCAATTGGTAAGAGAGGACTACCTGTATTCTCAGCTGGGCTCAAGAGCCAATTTGGTATACTGTTAAGGTGCTAGACTACAAACCAGGACACTGAATTCTAGTTCTTGCTTAGGCAGGAAAGCCAACTGGATGACTTTGGGCCAATTGTTCCCTCTCAGCCTCACAGTTGGTTGTGGGGAAGACAGGAGGTAAAAGTATTAAGTATGATGTTGCCATGAGCTGACCAAATTAAAAATAAATAATAATAAAGAGGAAAGCAAAGGGAGGGAACGAAGAAAGGAAGGATGGATCAGCATACTGAGAGTATCTGCATTTCTTCAAAAAGCAAAAATGGAGCAGGTTTTAATTTACTAGTCCTTAATGCAGTTTGAAATAGAGCATGTGGAAAAACTTGAGAAGTTGGGACGATGGCAGAAGAGATGGCATCAAGGTGCCAAATTTCATATAACATACGTAGCCACTGGAATCTTTCTGTACATAATAGATAGATATACACATTCAGGCCTACCACACCCATCCTTGTTTCTCCTGCCTTCTGCAGGAGTTTGCTGGCAGGAAAAATAGGGTGGAGACAGTTCCCGGAAGGTAGGGAATTTTGGATACCCTTGGAAGAAGCATTGACTGGGGAAGAGTGTGTGTGTGCATGTCTGTCTGTCTTGTCTGTGTATCTTCTGGGTTTTTGCTCTTTCAGTCCCAACCTTAAAAGTCACCCCCTCCTCCCAATTCTTGTTGTTGGCTTCAGGCACAACTGGAACACATTCAAGAGCTTTCCCCCCTCAATGCACACTCCTTCCCGGAAACCCCCCTGTCCGTTGCGGCGTCTGGCTCCAGCTTCTACACATGGATGTGATTTGGTGGAATCCAGAGGCAGAATATTCCAGGGACCTAACTGGGGGTGGCGGCAATGGAGATCTGGCTTGATAAGTGCCCCCCCCTCAACCCTTGGCTCTTATCACAGGGAAAAGGCCTGGAAAGGGGGAGGAGGAGCAGTGGAAAGAGAGTCTGGAGGGCATGATGGATGAAGTGCTGCACATCCCCCTCTCCCCACTATGCTGACTCCCCCTGCCCCAGTCTCAAAACTTGGCTGGCTCTTCGGTTTTAGACTGATGGGCCTGTTCGGAGCATCTGCCTTCTTCCAACTGCCTTCCCTCCCTCCCTCCCTTCCACCACATCTCTTTCTTTTTTCAAGGGGCTGATTTTGTTTTATTATGTACGTGATCGTGCTGCAGCTACATTTTCTACACTTTTTCTCATTGCATCTTTCCCATTTTAAAAAGTATACTCGCAAATTCCTTTTCCTTTGTTTTCCCTCTTCTCTCCTTCCTCATGCCCTTTTTTTTTTTTTACATAGTTGCTTTCTTTCCTTAACCTTTCTCTCTGAATCTTTCTTTTTGGTGACACATTTCTCTATTGCCCTTCATGGGAATCAGATTTGGGGATCAGGGGACAATAAAGCAATAAGATTTGGCAACATTACGGTATATAGTAAGAGACAAGTTCATTAAAAGCGTCAAAAGTGCTCAGACATACTGTTGAAATTACTAGATTTTCTTTTATCTGCCTGATGTCGTATGCATTGTAAGGTATTTGTCTTCCTCCTGACATCTAATTAATTGCTTGTGGCAAAGTATATAAAGTATTTGGTTTGAAGGATTAAGCATTGTAAACTCAATTACCTACACACAAAGACACAAGCATGTACACACAGAGATATATATGTCTGTGTATATAATATAGCTAACAAAATATAGTTTTATTATATGCTGAGTCTTGATTGGCAGTTCCTCAATTATTGATTCTCTGTCCAAAAATATCTATAGTATATTCCCTCCCTCCCTCCCTCCCTCCCTCCAGATCTGTAAAGCAAAGGAAAACGGAAGTAAGATCGTAAGCACTGTCATGGTTTCATTTAGCAACCACTTTGCTTAAGAGCTGAGTTCCTGGTTCCAATTGTGGTCGTTAAACAAGAATTACCTGTATTTTCTCATATCACTTAGGAAGGGTGAGATCCCATCTATCGATCACTCTCGATAGATGAGATCTATCAAGAGTGAAATGCTTCTTGTGGTAGTGTATTCAGAGCACTTAACGCATATATAGCAAAGTGTCATCAGATACTGTATATATTCAGACACATTTTGTATTATGCCTTGTGGAGTAACACCAGGATATTTGGGCAACAGCTTATTAGAACTGAAACTGCCTGTTCAGTGTGGTCCTCCAGAGAGGACCTATTGCAGGACTGCTTTCCTTAGAAAGTATGGGCCTTATTGACCAGATGACAAGCCTTCTCGGTTGTGGCCCCCACATTATGAAATACTCTCTCTCTCTCAGAGGCACAATGTTTCTGAACTTGCTGGCAATTTGTAAACAACTCAAAGTAAATTTCGTTTCAGTACACGTTCCACATTTAGAATAGATTAGATCAGATTAAATTAAAGATTTACTGTTGTTTTGGATTATATTCTTTAAATTATTTATATTAAATTTGCATTTTTGCTTTGTCTTTATTGTATCTTGCCCAGAGAATCGGGACTGGTCCAAGTGATAAATATTGTTAAATGAGTAACAATTTCTTTTCTTTTTTGTTTTTCAAAAGAATATGGGAATAAAATCAGGCACAGAAATCTCTTTCTCCTGCTTGCAATTTGATCAGTCTTCATTGGCAGCATTAGCCTTCTGGGTGATAAATCCAAAATTTTTCTTCTTCCATTGCTCTGGGTCATTTTTAAGTGAGGGCTGAGCTTTTCAGAATATCCTATCATTTAGATTATTGTGATCCTTATTAATGTTATAAGAAATGGAAAGAAAGAGGTCTCCTAGCAATCTCATTTGGTACATGAAATTACAAGTTACTGCATACACTAGTTTGTCATTTTGGTCATGAACAAATTTATTTCAAGGCAGGTACGTATTTGTTTCAGCAGAATCCCAGCAAAAAGGCTGATAGCCTAGGAAATAAGCTTTGCAAAATTCAGTGAAGCTCAGCTCAGAGTAACATGCAAAATACTGCAGTAATCTTGGGCTCGTTTACCAGGACGTAAGCCTTGGTGAATTTAATGGGGCTTCCCAGACATAGTATGTGCCAATTCCCCCTAATTTATTTGGATAATAGAGCTATTTTGTCAAATTGGAAGAGGGACTGATTTTGTTTGCAACTGAGAAGCAGAATGTTAATACCGGTAGTTGTCTAGCTGCATCGTTTTGATCATGGGCATCAGTCCCTGTTCACCTTTCTTTTTCAGAAATAGTTCAGAATAGTTCCAAGTCACCTTTAGGAGCAATGGGCAGCATATAAATTTAATAAATAATAAATTTAAAAAATAAAACTCAGTGGGCAGTAGCTCCCAAATGACCTGCCCATGGTAACGGAACGGCTTGCTCCTACAACACCTTAAAGCTAAGTGCAGGTTATCAAAGCACGTTTTGTGTAATGTGCAATTCTCAAACAGTCATCAAAATGATGACTCAACATGATGGCATGGATCATACAACATACTGAGACCGTTGCTGGGTTTTGTCACAACAGGGTGCAAGTACAATTGGCCCAGCCCCATTTTACCGTCATGTGGTGTAGTTTATGAACCAGCAACAGCAGGTCTTCCTGGGCCTTCTCAATTTACAGCAAGAATCATGGCCAAAGTGAAGTCCGAGTGTATAAATCTACCGATACATATGCTTGATGGCAGGATAGACATTCCTGGTCCATGGCTAATTCTCCTTGTCCCGCTAAACATTCTTGGCAACTGTGAACTCTTGGCAGACACTGGGGATAGTTATGCTCCCTTCTGCCTCTCTCTCCCCCCCCCACCTCCGCCAAGACTTTGCAAAAAGACCACAAGGGGAGAGGCCCCACGCAGCAGTGGAGATCACATGACTCCTCTCCCTTGGGGCCAGGGGACTGCTTCCCAGAAATCCAACAAGTAGCCTGATTTATTGGAGGCTGAAACAAGCAAGGAGAGGATCCAGGCTGCTAGGCTTAACCCTTCAGAAGCTAGATGGAGCCATGTTAAGCAGGCGTTTAGCCACTGGAGGGCTTGGGCATCTGAACAGCTACAAAAAGACAGATTGTCATCCAAAGACAGATCCTTGCTTTGTTAGCATTAGGGTGGGAGCCTGTGGTGCCCTTATCTAACTCATGGCCTAGCCCAGAAAGTTTGATGCCCAATTGTTTGGTTGATGTTAGTGTCCTTTATAAACCTGCCTGACCTGTTGGATTGCAAGGTGAAGTTGGGAGAAATAGATGAGAGTATCGTCAAAGGGAGGGATGAAATTTCATTTCATCCTGAAATTACATTTCATTCTCTTTAACACTAGCTGTTTGCCCAGCTTCTGCAACTGGTAGCTAAGGAGCAGCTGCCAGCGTCTTCTGGCAGTTTCTGCACAGGGATTCTTTTCCCGGCGTTCTGATGTGAGATAGAGTGCCGTTTTTTTTCTGGCCCGAAGGCAGTATGTCCCCTTTGGGTAGCACAAAGCAGTTCTTTGCTCTGAAAAAAAAAAAAAAAAAACTAAATCAGCTTTTACTTCATTTAAAATTAAATGTAATAATACTTTCTGGCCATATATTTAACCATCCTGTCCTCTTGTGGCATTAAAAATTACCATTTGATAATTATTTCTGGAGTTGCTGAGGATCATAACTTACTTACTTTCTTTCTTTCTTTCTTTCTTTCTTTCTTTCTTTCTTTCTTTCTTTCTTTCTTTCTTTCTTTCTTTCTCATTGAATGAATGATAATCCATCTCCCTCATAGAGTGCTTTCAATGTCACCATAACTCCAATGATTCACTTCTGATTCAGGTTCTGCTACAGGATCACTAGTTGGGTTTCGCGTTTTTTTTTTAAAAAAACCCTCAAAACTACTATTCACCTTGGGTGCAAACATCAGTTCATGAGTGGCCCATCAGAAAGCACTATGTTAGCTGGACCAGGGTCATCTGTAGGGTTGTCAAAAAAGTCAAGATGGTGGCTCCACTTCATATAATCGAGGCCTTGTTCCTTTTTTTAGGTACAGTACAATTGATATATTGCCTTTTTTGTCCTGCTGTGAGGATGTCCCTGACCTATAATTAACCACAATTCTCAGTCTAGCTGGCTACATTCTTTAAACAAAATCTTAAGAAGATCAGTTAAAGCATTTAGCATTCATATCCCATGTTGAGCTGAGTTAGGTTTAACATTTGGGGTAACAGAGCACATTGTGAGTCAGTCCATTTGCTCAGGTTGGTTCAGTATTTTGTCTGAATCCAGAAAACAGGTTATATAGGAAGTGGTATAAACATTTATTGAGGATATTGTCATTGTGGGGAGAGAACCGTTAGTCTGGGGTAGTCCAAAATTAGAAGATTGGTAGCACCTTTTTAGACTAACAGTGTTATGTCCCGAGCCTTTGCAAACGGCTCGGGCGTTTGCAGGCAGTCCCGGGCAGGTGCAAAGCTGCCCGGGACCAGACAGGCTGTCGCCAGCGCCGTGCGCATGCGCGGGTGCTGGCGCGGGAAAAGTAACCCATTTACCCGGGAGTTGCCTATATAAGAGGCTGCGAGGCGTTTGGGCGAGGCTGAAGCCATCTTCCTGTAAGCTGAACGCTGAATAAAAGAAACTGAGAACTCCAGCTGCTTCTCGTGTCTGTTTTCCCGCCAAGGACGCAACACTGGCGACGAAGGTGGGATGCCTTGCACTACCTGGAAAGGAAAAGTGTAAGCTTACCCAAGGAGTCCTGAGCGGCGGAAGAGGAACGGCGTCGACTCGGCAGCTGCCCGCCAATCCGGTGCGCATTCGGGGGTAGGCTGGCTGATAGACCCGTCTCCTGAAGATCCGAAGATGGCGAAAATCGGAAGGCTTTCGGAATTCGACGTCTCACATCCAGAGCGGTGGGAGTCCTACGTATCCAGAATGGAGAACTACTTCAAGGCAAACCAAGTGAGGGAAGATAGCTTGAAGGCCGCCACCCTGCTTTGCGTTTGCGGCCAAGACGCCTTCGAAATCGCAGAAAATCTTGTAGCACCTGTTCCAGTAGAGTCTGTAAGCTACGCAGACCTGAAGAAGCTGCTGAAAGAGCACTTCCACCCCAAGGTGTCCGTTATCTCATGGCGCCACACCTTCGAGCAGAGGGATCAACGGTCCGGTGAAACAGCCAAGGAATACATCGCCGCGCTACGGAAGGCCGCCAAGCCCTGCGAGTTCAAGGACCTCGAGGAACGACTGAGGGACCGATTCATGTGCGGGCTAAGGCATCGAGAGCTACAACAGAGACTTTTTGCCAAGGAAGAATTATCCTTCCAAGACGCCTTAAGGGAAGTCACCGCAGAAGAAGCAGCAGGCGGCGCCATCAAAAACATGCGGCCGATCAGAAACAGTGCAGAGGGTGCGTCCGTGCACCAGGAAGACGTCCGACGAAACTCCGAGGAGGATCCGGACGAGGAAGTCGACCGTCTACACCCCGCGAAGGAAGAGAACCAGAAGGGAAGCTCTTCGGCTCTGCTCAAGTGCATCGGCTGTGGAGGTCGCCACAGGAGAACCGACTGCAAGTTCCGCTCCGCTACCTGCCGGGCATGCGGCAAACAAGGGCATATTGCAGCTGTGTGTCTGAGCCGACGAAAGGCACAACCCCAAGAAGAACGCCTGAAAGCTTTCTTACAGGCAAACCTGATTCGTCATGCCACGTCTGCGCCTTTTCACCCGTCCACCAACGGTATGGCTGAACGCATGGTGCGCATCGCAAAGGACGCCTTGAAGAGACTCACCTACGGGGACTGGCATCACAGGTTGGCTGACTTTCTCCTTTCTTATCGCACCACACCGTCCACTTCTACAGGGAGAAGTCCAGCTGAACTTCGTTGGGGGCGCCAACTTACTACTAGACTTGACCGGTTGCATCCGGACAGACTGCCTTCATCTACCTCACATCCTAGGGCACCTAGACAACTACTTGTGGGTGCCCCGGTTTGGGCTCGCAATTACGGGCCTGGTCATACATGGGTCCCCGCTTCTGTGTCCAGGATCACAGGTCCTCTCTCCTACGAGGTTGCCCTGGACAACGGTCGTGTCCTGCGTCGGCACATCGACCAACTTCGCTCTAGGCGAGACTTTTCTGCTGAGACTCCTGGGTCTTTTCCAGGGGGGGAGGGGGACCCTTTGGAGCAAAGGGAAGGGCAAGAGCTACTGCCCATCTCCACTGAGGGAGCCACAAACGGCTCGTCCCAAGGTTGGCCTGACCTTACCCCAAATCCTACAGGGGGTCAAACATACACAGAGTTAGTCGAGGAACCAAGTCCCGACTACAACAACCCTAGCACAAATCAGGGAACACCTGAGTTTTGGGAAAGTACAGAAACCCACACGAGCCCGAACACAGAATGGGGTTCAGGGAATGGACAGCCTCCTGACAGGTCTTGGACTGACCTAGGAGGTTCTACAGAGACGCCCAGCAGCGGCTATCACTTCAAGGGGCCTGAGGGTCTACAGCTAGGTAGGTCAACCAGGTCACAAAGTAACAGAAGCCCTGGCCTGACGAGCCCGGTGGGCAAGCAAGCAGGCCAGGCATCGGGGCACAGTCCTTGGAAGACACCAGGACACAATAGAGAGAACAGGCTCACGCCTCCCTCCAGTCAGGGGACTTATGCCAGTAATCCACAGCTAAGAAGGTCACAGAGAGCAAAGAAATCTCCCAAGTACCTAGAAGACTACATAACATTGCTGGCAAGGCAAAGGCCAGTAAACAGTGGGAGCACTGGGGAGCAAAATGTCATATAAAATAAATGTTGTATGTTGGTAGTAGTTTTAGCCCGGGGGAAAGGGGTGTTATGTCCCGAGCCTTTGCAAACGGCTCGGGCGTTTGCAGGCAGTCCCGGGCAGGTGCAAAGCTGCCCGGGACCAGACAGGCTGTCGCCAGCGCCGTGCGCATGCGCGGGTGCTGGCGCGGGAAAAGTAACCCATTTACCCGGGAGTTGCCTATATAAGAGGCTGCGAGGCGTTTGGGCGAGGCAGAAGCCATCTTCCTGTAAGCTGAACGCTGAATAAAAGAAACTGAGAACTCCAGCTGCTTCTCGTGTCTGTTTTCCCGCCAAGGACGCAACAAACAGATCTTGTTTTAACAAAATATATTGGTCCGGAAAGATGTTACCAGACTCCTTCAGATTTTAGGAAGTTGTGTAAACTTGTTATTTGCAAAAATGAGCCTGGAGAAAGATAATCTATGTTGGGTTACATTGCCTGTAATTACAAACATTTGCTTCTGTGCCTTGGTTAGCTGATAATCTTGGTTGGGTTCCATTGCTTATGTGGAGGATCCACATCAAGCCCTTGGCATTTTAGTTAAAGCTGCTAGGAGAAGCTGCTTTTCCTGGACCCTGAATTAACTTTCTTGGTCAGAAATGGGTAAATCTGACTGTGAAAGCAAATGATCTACATGCCAACAGTCCAGATTTCTTCTAGGATTTCCCAGTTAAGTTATGGATGTCTAACACATGGTTTTCTAGAACTTCTACTTTCACCAGCTCTGCCATAGCCAGGGAACCTGAAAGATATAATATGGCAACATCTGGAGGACCACTAAATAAATTTGGATGCAAAGAAACCATGGAGAGCTTTAAGTTCCTTTTAAGGAACAGTAAGCATCTTCTTTCTAAAGGTCCCAGATCCATATTAATGATGCCTCTCTTTCTCCTTGTTCCCTTGCTATCCCATAGTGTGTTTTGGGACCTGTACTGTGCAGCACCTGATCGACGAGAGACCTGTGAGCACTCAAGTGAGGCCAAAGCTTTCCACGATTATGTGAGTACAATGTGTGAGGCTGATGCCTATCATTTGTATGGTCGTTCAGATGCTGTGTGATTTGGACTTTGGAGGGCCTCCTGGAGGAGACCAAAGTGAATGTGGTGAAAGAGAGGTGTGAAAGCAATTTGAAGAGTGGTGAAAGCAATTCACTTGGGGTATTCAAGGTGACCGGCTGAAACAATCTATAAATGAATTCTATTTCAGTCATATTTAGAACTCAAGGGGCTTTGCTCCAACCTGATTGTTGTGATACCAAACTGCAGACATCCTATCAATTCCAACATGGATAACGTAGGAGAAATCAGTACCATCACACACCAGTCAATCCTTGATGACCACTAAACATTTCAAGATGATTTACGTGCATTTCTTTTGTTCTACAGCCCAATAACCATTCACCTGGAGTAAATAATAGTGAGTTACATCTGATTGTAGAAATGCCCATCATGATGGTGACTGATCAGGACAGGACAATGAATGAGAGCCACCCAAATGCTTCTGTACCATTTAAACAAAATCTACCCTGGTTCTAGAAGAAGTAGCAGTTCAGTAGCAGTCCAACACTTTTTTTCATAGCATCTGATTAGATGCCAATATTTCACAAGCAATAAATGAAAAACCCCAGACGCTTTTATTTAATCACTAGCAATTTGGATTTAGAGAACTAGAGTGCCTCTGAGCATATAGAATCCACAATTGTGTAAACAGCAGCCAATAGATCTGTTTCCCTCATATGGAGGTATCACATGGGTAGAAAATGCATGGCACCTGTTCTCAAATCTACCTGTAAATCTTTTCTAGTGATTCCTGGATTAATCACCCCATAGTTTTTTAGCACTTGTACCAGGTCTTAGCAAAAAACAATTTTTGAAAGTCTTTAAGTCAGGATTTCCCAAACTTGGCACCTCTAAGACAGGGCTTTTCAACCTTTTTACCGATTGTACTACTTTTAGGATATGGCAATATTCGAGTACCACCTAGCAAAATGTCAAAAACTTGATAACCAAAAAAAAAAAAACCTGTTCAAAGTTGCAATTGCATTGAAATGACTTATGACCATTTTTCACACTTATGATCATTGCAGCATCCCCAGGGTCATGTGATTTATATTTGGATGCTTGGCAACTGATTCATATTTATAATGATCACAGTGTTCCAGGGTCATGTGATCCCCTTCTGCAACCTTTTGACAAGCAAAGTCAATGGCAGAGCTGCTGGTGGCCAAGTGCTAAGGCAGGACTTCTTTTCCTCCCTCCCTTCCCTGCCTCCCTTTTTTTATTCCCATCTTCTTCTGAAGGAAGAATTTGACCCCCCCCCCCCATATTTTCCCTCTTCCATATATTGATCAAACAAGGAAAGGCCACCAGAGACAGAAAAGACAAGCTGCTGAGTGAACTAGCTTAAAAAGGCACATTCCCCTTTAAGAATTAGCTACTGGCTAGAAAGGAAAGTAAGGAGCACAGCCGGCACTTAAGGAAGAAAAAAAAAATGTAAGTGTTGGCTAAGGCAACCTCCCCAAATGGCTCCGTTCATAAGTAAAGAAATGTTACAGGCAAAATCCATTCAGGAGAAAATACTTCAAAATCCCTTGCAGCAAAACTTACAGCTAACAACAGCTAACAACAGCAGAGCAATAGAAGCTAACACGAGACATTAGCCAAATAGAAATTACCAAACACTCCTTAAGAACACAAAGCCCTCATTGCACAAATCCCAGAACTTCAAAGTCACAAAAGCACATAAGAATCCTTCCACTCTCCATCTCCTTCCCTCCTCTGTGCCTCACCTCCAGCCATTGCTGCCTTTTTTCATTCCTCTTGGAGGGTGACCCCTCCCCCACTGCATTTCTTGTCTGTTTGCTGCTGCCAGCACAGCAGTTGTGGATCGGCTCATGGCCAGCCTGCTTGATCTCCTCTCCCCCCACCCTCCCCCTCCCCCCTTCGGTGCAGCTGACTCTGCCTCCTCCAAAGGCTGCTGCTTTTTTTCTCTCTCCCTCTCCTGCCCAAACTGCCTCTTTTATAGGCTGCTTTTTTTCTCTCTCCCTCTCCTGCCCAAACTGCCTCCTTTTATAGGCTCTCCTGTCTCCGCCCCCCTCCTCCTTTCTCATGGGGGAGGGTGAGCCAGAAGTGAGCCTGGGGCCTTTGCAGCTCCAGTGGACTCTCTCGCTGTAAGTCCTTGCCTGTGCTGGCTCTTTCCCTCCCACACTACACTTGGCTAGGCAGGGCTGCGTACCACCTACCACTCATTAATGTACCACAAGTGGTACCGTACCACCACGCCCTGCTCTAAGACATGTGGACTTCTCAGAATTCTAATATGAGAATTCTGAGAGTTGAAGTCCATGTATCTTAAAGTTACCAAGGTTGAGAAACCGTCCTTTAAATTAAAAAAGTAATTCTATTTTGGCAGGTTGATCAGCAGTTATTCAATGTAGTCAATATTAGAATTAGTAAAACATTCATATTCAGAGGTAGTCTTCCGTCTCTCTCTCTCTCTCTCTCTCTCTCTCTCTCTCTCTCTCTCTCTCTCTCTCTGTGTGTGTGTGTGTGTGTGTGTGTGTGTGTATGTATGCACACTCAAGCACACATGTCCTCAAGTCAGTCTTGACTTCTGGCAACTGCTTGGACAAATCTTTGCAGCTTTCTTGGCAAGATTTCAGAAATGATTTGCCATTGCTTTTTTCCTAGGACTGAGAGAGTCTACATCTAAATACCAGTTATTAAGAAATAACTAATAGAGGTAGGCTGTCCCATTGTGCCCTGTTCATGGGCCAGCTGGTATATAAACGGCTGTTATTCATTATATCAAATTGAACCTCCATGTTTTTAAATAGTATATAGTTAAATACAACATGTCAGTGAGATTTTTGAATGTGTCTGCCTCCTTTTTGGAAACCTTTTAAATCATGGGTGTCCAACCTTTTGGCTTGTCTAGGCCATACTGAGTGAAAAGGAGGTCTTGGGCTGGATGTGGCCCATAGGCTGTGGGTTGGCCGTGCCTATTTTAAATTGTAGTCTAAAGGTACTTTGATTTTTATAAATAAGATTTAAGTCAAGAGAAGGACTGACTGCTGTAATGCCAGTATAAGAGAATCGTTTCCTCTCTTATCGAGAGTGAAATGCAGTTATTTCATTGTTGATGTTCAGCTCTTCTACAATACTCTGTATCTGAGGAAGAAAAACCACAGAACAGCCCCTAATTAGAAGCTAAGCTAAGCAGGCAGTATTAAACACAGGTTTAGCCCCCAAGACCTAGAAGATAAACAGACACTAGTAAAACCAAAGAATTGAACAAGGTCCAATTATTTATTTATTTTAATCCATAATTGGATTAATTAGGGTATAACATTTTGATTCAGTTAAGAGGAAATGAGAAACGAAAACGCTTTGTTTAAATAAAAATGCACCAAAATATGCTTGCATTCAAATTCGGTCTAATCGTCTTTAAAATTGAAAGGGGGGTGGGAGAGAGAGAGAAAGAGAGAGGGGGGGCGGGGGGGAAGAGAAATTACATTTTAATTTTCTAGACTCAAACCCTTCTTCTATTATTCCTTCTCCTCTCTCTGTCTATGCCCCCCTCCCATCGCTCCCCTGGAGAATATGGTTTGGATCCTTTGTGAGCAAGAAATTGCCTAAGAGGAGTCATGCGGCGTTTGCTTCTGCTGTTTTCCTTGCTAGGTGGCCACGCGGTGCTGTACCACACATCCAGCACTCCTCCCTGCTTGTTTCCATGGGAACCGCATTCTTTTTGGACCATCTTTCTTCTGAGGCCAGCAGCCCTTGGCCTTGCCCACCTCTCCCTCTGCCCACAGGCCAGCAGGGGTTAACTGTCCTAGATATTGCCCACAAACTGGCCGTGTGCCACTTATATCAATATTTCAGGGAGCGCTGCAGGAGCTCTTTGCATAGCAAATGACTAATGTTCAGTGATGGAAATCTCTCCTCCATCCTCAACAACCTGCGTGACCATAGAGTACAATGTGTGGCTGATTTCCCTGGCTCATCCTTCCAGCCTGGCCATATACAGGTAGTCCTTGGCTTACAATTTGTTTAGTGACCGTTCCAGCTTACAATGGCATTGAAAAAAGTGACTTATGACCATTTTTCACACTTACGACCATTGCAGCATCCTATGGTCATGTGATCAAAATTCAGATGCTTGGCATTATTTATGATGGTTGCAGTGTCCCAGGGTCATGTGATCACCATTTGCAACCTTCTGACAAATCAAGTCAAGGGGGAAGCCAGATTCACTTAAGAACTTAACAACTGCAGTGATTCACTTAACAATCGTTAACAATTGCAAGAAAAAATGTAAAATGGGGCAAAACTCATTTAACAACTATATTGCTGAGTAGCAGAAATTTTGGGCTCAATTGTGGTCATAAGTCAAGGACTACCTGGTATTAATCTGGAGAAAGGTAGCTGTATACAGTAAGCATGGCATAAAAGATAAGATGCTAGTTGACAAATATAAAAAACCAGGTTTTAAATTTGGCCTCTGCCCTGGAAGGCTTTGAATAGTCCAGTGGTTCTCAACCGGTGGGTCGGGACCCCATTTGGAGTCAAACGACCATTTCACGGGGGTCGCCAAACAACGCAGTCCGCCATTTTCTTCCCCTTTTCCTTAGCTGTGCTACTCCCTTTTATTCTATTGGCTTTTGAAAGCCAATAGAATAGACTCTCTTGAATAGAGTCTAATTCTATTGGCTTTCAAAAGCCAATAGGAATTGTCCAGGCTGTCTCTGCCCTGCTGAGCCCGCCAAAAATCCCATTCTGCAAACGGTGCTGCACCAGTTGAGTAGTCTTTGACTTACAACCGGTTGAGTAGTCCTCGACTTGCGACCGGTTGGGGTTGCGGCATTAAAAAGGTTGAGAACCACTGGAATAGACACACTCAGCCCCACCTACATTGTTTTGTGGGGATAACAGGGAAGGCAGATCAGATTACTCCTGGACAAAGTGGGATATAAATCTAATCAGCGATTGTTCTTGCTGATAGTCAAGCCAAATCTCATCTCCTTCCTGCACGATCAATATGAGGTTTAAGTGGTTCCAAAAATTCCTTAGAATGTGAAATAATCCTCAGTTTTTATATTCTTAGAGATTGATTCTGAAAATATCACGAAAGCCTTTTTATGAAATCTTACAAGATTTGGAGCAAGAATGTTTGACAGCCTCACAATTTATGTTTTAAGCACACATGTTTAAAACACATTCAAGCACATAGAGTGTCACCTAAATACCAGAAAAGGTTCTCCGTTTCTGAAAGAGAAAGGGAGAGGGGGAGGGAGAGGGGGAGAGGGAGGGAGGGAGGGAGGGAGGGGGAGAGAGAGAGAGAGAGAGAGAGAGAGAGAGAGAGAGAGAGAGAGAGATGTATTTTTTCTGCTAGGCTTCCAGATTCATTATTTATCTGATTACTACCCACATGGATGTCTGTGGAGGAGGGGAGTCACAAAAAGTCAAGATGGCACCCAAAACCATGGGGGTCAAAGCCCTGCTCTTTATACATGCAGGTAAAAAACAGGTGGGGTTTTGTTTGCACAGTTGTGGCTGCCATCTTGACTTTTTGACACCTTTTTTCCAGTGGGTATGCTGACTGACAGCTTATCCTTTCAGAAATGGATCTGGAGGCTCTTTTTGATGGGAACAAATGTGCGATACGATATTTTTCTACTCTGTTCTCTTGTCTGCTTTGATTTTAATTTATTGCCAGATTCCTTGCCTTTGGGGGAGATGGATGTTTTCTGACTGAGTTTATCCCCAGAGAATGCATTTTGGGGACTTAGTAATATCAGCTTTCAAGGCAGCCATTTTGTGAGACTGCCTACGAGGCCTTTCCAGGCTCAGAAAGATGTCAGATTCCTAAAATTCTGAGAGGTCATTCTGTCCATGAATGGGAGATTATAAAAGGATTAAACCTTTGGGAGGGGAAGAACTCTAAGTAAATGACACAGAGCTCCGTGTACGAAATTTCTCCAGAGAGAATTGTTCCCTATTTGCCTGCCTTCTCCAGTTTGGCCTATTTGGGGCTTTTCCAACTAACAAGGCCATGTTGGCTGGCATCGAGTGGAGGAGGGAGTTTGTAGTCCCAACGTGTCTGAAGGGCACCAGGTTGCAGACATCAGTTGTCTGTTGCCTAAATCCATATTCCCTGCCAAAGATTGTGCCTGTCCTTTCCTCTTTTTTTCTCTCATATAAGGGATAGGTTGTACAGCTGTGGGGCAGGGAAGGCAGCCAAGCGCTATTTTGAACTCTGACTTGGTTTTTCCTTGTTCTCTAAGCCAATCCCAACCTCCCCAGCTTGGAGGAAGCACTAAATTATTTGGAAATGGCAGCGGGGAGCAAAAATCCCGGGGCCGTCTTCTTTGCCTGTCTTTCGAAGCAACAGCAGCAGTGTTGAATATTGTGTTCTAGCTGGCCTCCTGTGGAGGTGGGGGGGCCTGCAGTCCTTCACCACCCCTCTCTAAATTAAAACCACTTGGAGTGGAGACAATGCGTGAGGGGCCAGGCTGGAAAAAAGGCAGAAAATTCCTGCCGTCTTAACAGCTCCCCCTGGAGCCAACTTGGCTCCCAATGAATGCCTGCCTTGAATCAGAAAATGCAGCTCAGTCGTTCGCTCATTCCGCAGCGCACAAATCTCACAAATATCAGCTCTGGCTGCTGTGGCTCAGAAAGTTCTGCAAAACAACTTCAAGCCCCACTATTTGCAGATCTTTTCTCTGCTGCTCAAGACTCTCAGCCCTGTTTGAATGGCTGGTTGTGCTGGCCCACAATGGGCTGGGCAGGTAAAACATGGAGTCCATCAATCTGACCTCTTCCCCTCTCTCCACAGAGCTCCGCAGCTACAACCAGTCCTGTGATGGCCAACCTGCCACCCAGTGATGCCATCCCCAGCGGGCCTATGTTGTCGGGCTTTTTCCAGGTGGGAATAGGCTGAGGTTGGGAAAGGGGCACTGCTGAACCTTAAGCATCCTGCAGAACTTGCCTTCATCTTGGTAAAGCCTCCATGTTCGAAGGCAGTCTGTCTTTGAATCTGTCAGAAATCTGGCAGGGAATGTCTGCCTTACAAATAGTTCTTGACTTACAGCTATTCATTTCGCGACTGTTCAGAGATAGAACGGCACTGAAAAAAATTGACTTAACAACCAGTCCTCGCACTTACGAATGTCCTAGCATTTCCCCATGATCATGTGATCAGAATTTGGACACTTGACAACTGGCATGTATTTACAACATTTAAAGCATCCCAGGATCGTGTGATCTCCGTTTGCTTCTGACAATTGGCAAATCTGGTCCCAATTGTGATTGTAAGTCAAGGACTAGCTATACCAGGGGTCTTCAAATTGGGCCCTTTTATGACTTGTGGACTTTAACTCCCAGAATTCCTCAGCCAGGCACGCTGGCTGAGGAATTCTGGGAGTTGAAGTCCACAAGTCATAAAAGGGCCAAGTTTGAAGACCCCTGACCTATACTAAAAATGACATATTGCATCAAACGAACTCTGTAATTAGCAGGGCCTTCTTGTGCGTCTAGATAGAGGCAGTTATAAGTACCAATGGAAGAGAATATTTGTAGCTCGGGTTTGAACTGTGGCAACCCTGCAGTTATAAGACTAGGAGTCCTACTAGATGTCAGTTGAGGGACAGAGGAGGAGGACCTGTGTTTGAATTACAAGTTCCTCTTGCAACTTTAACTGAAGCTCATTTACTACTGGATCCCCATACCATCAGGACCGTATTTCTCAACCTTGATGATTTTAAGATATCTGGACCAACTCAGAATTCCCCAGCCAGCATGCTAGCTGGGGAATTTTGCGAGTTGAAGTCCACACATGTTAACGAAGTTGAGGTTGAGAAAAACTGCATTAGGGAGTATTAATGCCTAATATTTTCTCCTTTCTTGTCACCCCAGACTTCAGCATGCATCCCTTTTGCTTAGATTTATGCAAAAATTACTGTGGAACAGGGGAAGTCTTGAACAATAAACCACGGCCATATCACCACAATTGCATTTCTGCTTCTTCCCTAAGGGACCACCTGGCTCCCAGCCATCCCTACATGCTCAAGCTCCCTTGCACAACCCTAATGCGGCAATGATAGGACCCCATAATCAGGTAAGTCTAAAGAAAGAGGCAGCCTTTGTAGTTGGCATTGGCCCAGCTGTGCTCTGCTATCTGACCTCATCCTTTCCCCAATTCTTGACCCTTCGATATCTTTTGTTTTACGTATTTTGGTACCAGCACATCTTGTCTTTTGGAAGGTGTATCACAAACTATTGTAATCCATTACACCATACCAAAAAAAAAAAAAAGAAAACCAAACAGCGGTCTGTTCACAAGGAAGTCCTATTGAATTGTTGGGGATTTCCTGCAAGAAAATACATTCATTGTTGTTTTATATTAGCATGCTGTGTGAACCCAGGCATTGTATGTTATATGGCCTAGCTGCTTGTAGAAATTCATCCAGTAGTTTAGTCTTATGTGCAGATCCAGCCACAGAGCTTTTGCCTGGATTTCAGGTATCTATGGACAGAGAATTGTACCTTATAGAACCATAGGAGAATCACTTTGCATTGGAATGCCATTTCCAGGTTTCTTCCCCCTGGGTAATCCATCTCCGTCTCTTCCCCAAGTTTCAAATTATAACTGTACTGAACGAATGATGGTTAGAACCGGTTCTCCGGTTGTCCCAGCACTCCCCACGGTCATGTGATCATGATCTGGGTGCTTGGCAACCTATTTACACTGTGCCTCTTGTGCAGCCCATCAGTCCCTTCCACCTCTGGCAGCAGCCATTTACCTACCTGCTGGCCTGGAGTTTCCACGTTCCTGCTGACTTTCCCACTGATTTTGATTGTGGGAAGCCAGCATGAAGCCGCCTTGCCTAACAACCACGGAAATTCAGTTTAGAACAATAATGGGACTGCAAGGATTGCCATTGCTAAGTTGCCATCATAAGTTAAGGATTCTACTTTTGAAATCATAATAATCTCGCATAAATCTCATGAGGGTTTTGGGGGAGGGCAGAGGTTGCCCCAATTTTCACAAATTTCATGTAATACAAAATGTTGCAAGATTGGTAAAAAATTTCCTTATTTTGGCCATTTGGGATTTCAATTGATTTGAGCCTTTGATTCCTGATGACTGCCTGGACTAATCCCTGCTATTTTCTTGCCAAGATGTTGGAATTGATTTGCTATTGCCTTCTTCCTAGGGCTGAACAGAATGACTGGCCCAAGGTCACCCAGGTGGCTTTGTGCATAATAGCAATAGCACTTAGACTTATATACCACTTCACGGTGTTTTAAAGCCCTCTCTAAGCGGTTTACAGAGTCAGCATATTGTCCCCAATAATCTGGCTTCTCATTGAAAGAAAAAGTCTGAGTCAACCTTGAGCCAGTGAGACTCGAACTGCCAAACTGCTGGTACCGGCAGTCAGCAAAAGTAGCCTGCAGTACTGCATTCTAACCACTGCACTACCATGGCTCCTTAAGGTGGGACTGGAATTCCCAGTCTCCCAGTTTCTAGCGCAGTGCCTTAACCCTTACACCAAACTGGCTCTTCTAGAGATGCTCTTTTGTAGCCCCTACATCAAATTAATTCTTATTTAATTTTGGACCCTTCTGATACCATTTGGATGAGGAATTGTACTATACATGTGTGGTGCTTACAATTGCTGCATTCCTAACTCTGACCTGCAAGATGGTTTTACAAAGCTGCTCAGAGTCACCTTGTAGGGGGAGATGGGCAGCATAAAAAAAATTGATAAATTAAAAAATAAATTAAAAAGCTATTGATGACAACAAGTGGTGTATATAAGCAACTACATAAGATGAGACAATATCACTCCCCTAATGATACCAGTGGGACCACTCCAGCTGAAAGAGAAAGCTTCAGGCTATCTCTGACGTTGTCATGTTGAACTTAGCAAGGCAGGAATTAGGATGGCAGGGAACCAAGCAGAACTATAGAGGGACTTGTAATAGATAAACCAGAGAAAAAGGTGGCTGCCAGTCTTTTGTCAGGTTGCAGTTTGTCCCATTTAGATTGCAATAATTTATATTCGAGCCAAGTTCTAGATATCCCATGAGTGCAGGCATCTGAAGGCAAGTTTGACCCATGTTCATGATATTAAGAAACTAAAATGGGTATTAGCCATTAACAGTTCCATCTCTTAGTCCTCAGTGCACTTCTTCAGGAAACAATGATCAATGTGTGACCTTCCCAGTGTTAACTGAACTACAACTCCCAGCATCCCTCATGGTACCAGCTGACATACCTGGAAATTGTTCAGCAACATCTGGAGGGCCAGGATTTTTTGCCACCAAAAATCCAGTTGAGAGGAACTTAGCTATTTACTGAAAATGTCCAGAATTTGGGTAAAGCTATAGCTTTGTATGCAAGATGACCTGCCTTTAACGCTGGCATTCCCAGATTATCTGGGAAACCATTTGGAGTCTGCAGACAGGTTACCAATCATTAGATTTAGTGATAAGAAGCTAAGGATGTGCTCTATCTCATTAACCTGCTTGGTACCATTTTACTGTTTCTCATGAAGATACCCAATCCAGTTTGTATTGTTTGCAGTTGACCTTCCCCAAAGCATAGATATGTGTGAGTCCTTCTGCAATTTACTATGTTTTGGAGTTGTTCACCTTTCTTTTATTCATCTGCAGCCATTCATGCCTTCACGCTTCCCTGGTGGGCTCCGTCCTTCCGTTCGAATGCCAAGCCAGGTAAGTTCTTCCGCTGAATTACTTTTGGTAATTCAGCTCTCCCATCTCAGCTACAAAAGTCCAGATCTGGTGTCCAGTCATATTTCTAGCATTTGTGTAGGTGTTCCATTACTCACTGATAGCAGTTAGCAAATGGCCAAGTTGATCATTTCCCTTAGAAGATTATCTTCATTTCCTTTTTCCTTCAAAGATGATTTAATTTTCAAGATCTTCTAACATCTCGCATTCAGTTACCTCTACTTTCCATCTCTTACTTCCTCTGCCCATCTGGTCATCTGTGATGAAATGGCATAGCAATGTCCCCAAAGCATCTGATGAATTAACCCTATGCTAAGAAGCCTTAATAAATGGAATTTTGTTTTCTGCAAACTCTTGTCTGGGTAATGCTATTTATTCAATGGTAGAACTGATGAAAATTAGACCACATTTTACAGATTCGACAGGGGATGTTAGAAAAGTGGATTTAGAGACTAAATAATTCTTCATTTGTTGGATAGACCAGGAACATCAGAAATGATGTGTTGTCTTATATTGGGCAAAATAATATTCTCTCCAATGAGGCTGGCTTCCATGCATTTTGATATTCAGAGGATAGTGCTAAGATAGAAAAGGAGGAGTGAGGAGGATCTGCCTTTCTCCATCTGAGGAATGTTCTAGGCATCTGGTGGATAAAGTTGTTCGGATTCTTTTGGAGTTTGATAATTCTTCCTGAGGTGATGGAAGCACCATGATTATCTGGAGGTGAATTTCAACTTGAAGAAGTAGACAGGGTCCTTGGGTCTGTAATCCTAGCTGCTGGTGAAAGACATCCAGAAGGTGATGTGTCCATAAAGTATATTTGCTTTGCTGAGAGAGTTGATACCACCTGACTGGAAGAAGATGGTAGTGCTCTCCTTTCTCAAGAAGCCTTCACTGGATTTGACACTCCTAGAATAATTTCATTCAATCTCCAACTTTCCCTTTTTAGGTAAAGTTATTGAGAAGGAGGTTGAGCTGCAACTTTGAGAGTCCTGGAGGAAACTGATTATTTAGATCCTTACCTTTCTTGTTGAAACTATGATATAATACTAAGGCAGCATTAGTTGTGCATGTCTTGGAGGGGGGAATTTCATCATCCTGGTTCTCGTTGACCTCTCAGCAGCTTTCGATATCAATCCTTCTAGTTTGCTTATGAGTATAGGAGTGGGAGTATGGTGTTGCATGGTTCTCCTTTCTTTGTCATTGAGTTCAATCAGTGTTGGGGGGGGGAGAAAGGAGGTCAAAGTAGAGGCCTCTAATGTGGAGGACATCAAGACTGGATTCTCCTGCTCCTCCTGTTTAATATTTACATGAAAAAACTAGGTCAAATTATCCCTCTGTTTGGAATCAGGTATCATCACTATATAGATCAGTGGTTCTCAACCTGTGGGTCGGGACCCCATTTGGGGTCGAACGACCATTTCACGGGGGTCGCCAAACAACGCAGTCCGCCATTTTTTTCCCCTTTTCCTTAGCTGGGCTACTCCCTTTTGAAAGCCAATAGAATAGACTCTCTTGAATACAGTCTAATTCTATTGGCTTTCAAAAGCCAATAGGAATTGTCCAGGCTGTCTCTGCCCTGCTGAGCCCGCCAAAAGTCACATTCTGCAAATGGTGCAGCACAGTTAAGTAGTCCTCGACTTACGACCAGTTGAGTACTCCTCAACTTACGACCAGTTGGGGGTCGCGGCATTAAAAAGGTTGAGAATCACTGATATAGATAGTGCTCATTTGTACATTTTGAACCTGGACCAACCAGATGATGTTCTCAAGGTCTTGGTCCAGTATGTGGAGTCTGTGGATCTGGATGAGGAGAATCAAGTTCAGCTCTAACAAGACCCAGTAGCTATAGGTATTTGGAGATGTTCCACCTTTAGTCCTAAAAGAGGTTGTACTTCCCCCTTTGGAATCTTCTTAGACTTGCAGCTCCTGCCTAAAGAATAGGTAGCAAGTGGTAACTGTGACCTGACAGCCTTCACACAAAGGTCTATCAATCAACTTATCTACATAACTCTCTGTCTCCCATTCTCCCTGCTATTGTCTCAAACCTGGATTCCAGAATCTATGCTAGCTTCCTTCCATAATGATCTTCCCAAACTAACACCTTTCCATGTGTGTTGATTGCACCTGGAAGAGGATGACCACTCTAGCTTGCTTATTGTTCTGAAAAGTCAAATAAAATTCCAAAACAACTTTCTATGACCAAGAAATGGCCTTAACAATAGGTGCAGGAAAGGTGTTATTTGTTATCATAGTAAGATATATTGGTGAAGAAGGTTCTACAAGTGACCATTTTTGAAGTTCTTCAGTGCTTTAAAGATCTCTTAGATGATAAGTCAATGGAATGGTAGCCAATATATGAGAGATGAATCAATGAATAAGCCAACAAATGAATCAGTGAAAAGCAATGCCTCTACTTCTGTAACTTTGGGATGTTTTAATATATGAAACAGGGGAATAACAATTTAAATTAGACCTTTTGTTGTTGCTACATACTCCTGCCAATAAGAGCACACTTCTTAAAACCATCACAAAAGGACTCCACACTTCGTTTTTTCAACCAGATCCTGGCAGTTCTTTTTACCTTTTTATTTGAGTCAAACATACACCCATAAAGGTATCCCTTCAATTTTGGGAAAGGGTGAAAGCCTTACAGTGCCAAGTCTAGATTGTGCGGTAGGTATGCAAGATAGGTCTAACTTTCCAATTGCCTCTTGTGTGCCTGTTAAGATTTGAGGTTTAATATTGTTCTGATGTGATTTCCTTCTTGTTTTTCTGAAATCTGCTTAATCTTTGCTTCAGTATTTTGAAGTGCTGCAGTTAGCACTGCAGTTGTTGTTGGTGATTCACACTCAAATCCATGTGAATAACATCAGTTACATCACAAGACTTGTAACCATGAGTTTTCTTGCTGAAGCATGAATTTTGAATTTTTTTCCCCCTACAGATAAAAGTTCCTGTGAAATGCTAAATAGTAGCAGTTTCTCTTAGAGTGATCTGCCAATTGTACTGTAAATTTGTCAGTCTTTCTCATGTAAACTGTCATGCATCATCCACTCATTTTTGATCACACAAATCAGCTCTTCTCAATTTGTAGCCTATACCTTTTTGCACAGTACTTGTAGCAACACTTTATCTCCATAAACAACCAGCATTTAGCAGTAAATATCAATTGGAAGGAGTTTGAGCGGTGTGGTGGCCTAATGGTGAAAACATTCACCTCCCTCTTGGAAGGTTGAGTGTTCAATCCTAGGTAACGTTTCTCTCCTAGGGCACAAAGAGAAAATACCTGCTGCAAATTCTGCATGGCATCAGGAAGGGCATCCAGCCCATAAATGGTCAGCCCTGGCTCTACCTTGAATTAAGGGATTAGAGCAAGGATCTTCAAACTCAGCCCTTTTGTGACTCATGGACTTCAACTTCTGGGAGTTGAAGTCAATGAGTCATAAAAGGGCAGAGTTTGAAGACCCCTGGATTAGAAGGTCATAAAAAGGGTGTTTTATCAGTTGGAGGGACTTCTTCATCAATCAAAAATTCAATCATGGTGTGCATTGATGAATACTCCTTGAATAAGCATCATAATCTATCTGATTAAAAAAAAATGGATTTTTTTCCCCCTCCCCTATAGCCATCTATGGGTGTGTCTGGCCAACCTCTGATGCCCAGTGCAATGGATCCGGCAATCCGATCACAAGGTGAGCGGTGATTTAAAAGGGGATGAGTGGATAGTCAGAGCGACATGAGACTATGGTGCAAGCAGGGAAATGAGATTAATGGTGCATCTCTTAAGAATCTGTATCCATCCATTTCACAAATAAATGAGATAAATATGCATCTCATAAATAAATAAATGTCAAAGTATCTTATACTTAGAAATTATTTGCATAAAAAAATGCAAAACAATGCTGAAATATTTCTGGATTTCTCACGTCCTTGCCTAAATTTTTTACAGCGCAGTATGTAGCCACGTTTGGTAAAGCAAATATAAATGCTACAAACGTATGAACTTGTTCCTTTTGCTTGGTTTAATTGCTTGAATGTTCAGATTTGGGGGGGGGGGTTATTGCTTCTTTTTTGAGCCTCCAGGCTCATTAGAGACTTTGATTCTACAGTTGCAACTTAAATGTGTTTGATCTCCCCAATTCCCCTCTTTTCCCACTCCTTTTGCCACCAGTAGGGCATCCTAACATGGGCCCGATGCAGCGCATGACCCCACCACGGGGTATGACAGGAATGGCTCCACAGGTGAGCTCCCCAAAATGGGGGATAGATTTTGAAACAAGTTAGTGGATCTGGAAGTATTATTTGATATGAGATTGTGCTGGTTTTGTGTGGGTGCATATGCATGCATGCCAGTCTGAATGCAAAAGATGGTCTAGACCAGGGGTAGTCAACCTTGGCTCTTTTATGACTCGTGGACTTCAACTCCCAGAATTCCTGAGCCAGCTGTGCTGAGGGGAAAAGGAGAGGTTTCCAAGCTGAGCCATGCTGTCTCAGGAATTCTGGAAGTCCACGAGTCATAAAAGAGCCAAGGTTGCCTCAGGGAGTTTTCTGACTGCTTGAAGCTCACAATTTAATTTGCACATTCCTTAAAACAGTTGCACTTCTTTTTTCCCCCATTCAGTTAGAATAAAGAAATCTTCAAGGTTTTTCCCGCGTAAAATTGGAAGTGTCTTGGCGACGTTTCGACGAAGTCCCAAGACACTTCCATCGCCAAGACACTTCCAATTTTACGCGGGAGAAAACCTGAATAACCAAAGACCTACATACAAACACCCGCGAAAACCTCAGAAAACATATATATATATATATATATATCTAATTAAATATTTCTCATCTGTCATGCACCATTTATTTATTTATATATATTAAATGGGTATGCTGCTTTCTATTAAAAGTGGCATAATGAGTTACAATAAGTGAATAGACTTCAAGGAGGTGGATTAAGTAATATAAAATATCAAGAAAACATGACAGCAAGTTCTTAAAAAAATCCACGTGACACAGTAACCAAAATACAGGTAATCCTCGACTTACAACCGTTCAAAGTTACAACAGCACTGAAGAAAAGGACTTACAACCCATCCTCACATTAACTTTTGCAGCGTCCCCATGGTCACGTGATCAAAATTCAGGCAGTTGGCAACAGGCATTTATGTGCAACAGTTGCCACAACGGGGTCATGTGATTGCCATTTGCAACCTTCCCAGCCGGCTTCCAACAAGCAAAGTCAACAAGGGAAGCCAGATTCACTTAACAGCTGCAGTGTTTTGCTTAAAGAATCACAGCAAAAAATCAGATGCAACTCACTCAACAACCCACCTTTCTTAGTAACGGGCATTCTGGTCCCAATTGTGGTCATAAATCAAGGACTACCTTTATAATTTTTTTTAATAGTGACAGCTACCGTAAATGCCGGCGTACAAGGCGACCCGGCGTATAAGACGACCCCCGTCTTTATACCCGGGCCGCATTCCTAGAACGTCGTCTTATACGCCGGAAACTACCAGTATTTCCGGCGTATAAGACGACCCCCGTCTTTGGCGCCGATTTCAGCGCTTGCGGAAGTCGCCTTATACGCCGGCATTTACGGTAGTTATTGTTTGAACTAGAGCAGGGGTAGGCAACCTTGGCTCTTTTATGACTCGTGGACTTCAACTCCCAGAATTCCTGAGCCAGCCATGCTGAGGGGAAAAGGAGAGGTTTCCAAGCTGAGCCATGCCGGCTCAGGAATTCTGGGAGTTGAAGTCCACGAGTCATAAAAGAGCCAAGGTTGCCTACCCCTGAACTACAGGAACAAAATGCTTTGTCCTTAATAGTGATATGGTGTTTCTTATCAGTGGTAGCTGTACTGGTAATAATATAAAGATTGTGACCTCTGTACTAAATAGATGAATCCTGTTGGGTAAAATTGGTGCTAGAGGTGATGAGTGAGTGGGATGGGAATCAACAATGGTTGGTTTCTCTCCCTTCCGCTAATCCCTTCCTGCTTTTTCTTCACCCAGAATTATGGTGGTGGCATAAGACCTCCTCCAGGGTCCCTGGTTTGCCCTGGTATGCCCACAATGAACATGTAAGTGTCTGTATTGTTTCTCTTGGGAAGGGGTAGCCAGAGGGAGTCAGGGAGAGAGTGTCCTTTCAATCGAGCAGGAACAGCATCATCCCTTCCCAGGAACTCTTCCAAATGTTTGAGAGGTCAGCTTTGTACATTTTTCTCTGCAGCGCTCCGGGTGTTCGAGGATCCTGGCCAAATATAAACACAAACTCGGTATGTCTGGTTTATTTTTATTTTATTTTATTTTTTAAAATGAAACTTTCTCTACAATTCAGAAACTCACAGTGGCTGCATTCACACAACAGACTTCACCAAGCAGGCGAAAAACCTCAGGGCTGCACTTACACAACATGTTATTTATGTTCAGTCAGAGTTTTAGTGGGTTAACTAGGTTAAGGTGCCTACCAAACGCAGCCAATGCCTGCTATATTCTATTCACCAGCCACTGATTTTTTTTCCCCCCTCTCCTTTCTATCCCGTTTAGGTATCCTATTCCTCATCTTCTCCTGGCAGCTATGGGGTAAGTTGCTGAAGAGGTGTGAAAAGATGTAGGGTAGACTTGCTAGGCAAATTGAATTCTAAGTCCTGATTCAGGGCAGATGAATCTAATAAACCTGGTTGCAAGACAGGGTTGATAATGTTGATGAGAATGACTCCTCCACAAGGCAAAGCCCGGGATCATAAATGTTATTTCTCTCTCTCTCCTCACAGGGAGGCGGAGGCCCCCCTGGCACCCCTCTCATGCCAAGCCCTGGAGGTAAGTGTGCTGCAAATGAAGGTAAACATGCGTGTCCCAGGATAATGTTGGAGGATCCAATCCGAGTCAGTCCCCGGGACCAAAGCTTTATTCTTCCAACTTTTGGGCTCATGCTGGAACTCATCATCAAAGAGAGAAGCTCTCTGATGACGAGCACCAGCATGAGCCCGAAAACTTGGAAGAATAAACCTTTGATCCCGGTGACTGACTGGGACTGGATCCTTGGTAAGTATCCTGGATTCCATTTTGGAAGGAAATTATTTCTGAATGCCCCATTTTTCTATCACAGTGTCTGAGAAAGTCTTCCCTATCCCGGTGTTTTTCAAATTTTTGAGTTTCAATACTTACGGTCGCTAGCCAACCTTTTTTTTTTTTTTTTTGCTTTATTTATTTAATAAGAACAAAGAGAGAGAGAGAGAAAAGAAGAGAATAACAAAAAAAGGGAAAGAAGACAATTAACAAGTAGTACTTGATTTACAACCACTTATTCAACGACTGTTCAAAATTGCAACAGCTGTGAATGATGGGAACCTATGACCAGTCCCCAAGGTTGAGGTCATCACACTGTTCCTACAATCATGTGATCACGATCCAGGCACCATTATAATGTTGTAGTGAGCCACAATCACATGATCACCATCGGCAACCTCCCTTACCAGCTTCCCACAAGCAAAATCAAGCAAAAAGCTGGTAGAGTTGCTCATAAGTCTCCCTTGTAAGTAGGTCCCACTGCTTATTTTCCTGAGGAACTCCACTGTGGAGTATGAGACTCCAGATATCTGTCTAGCATCCCCTGCCTTCCAGCCCATAGTATCCCTCCTCCATAGTGTGCATTCACCTATATTAACCTCTATCTACCCAAGATCCTAGCCCAGTGATGGCGAACCTTTTAAAGACTGACTGCCCCAAACCCAAAACCCACTTATGTATCGTTGGGTGCTGGTTGGGCGTGGCCCATTGGGTGGGCATGGCTGCAGTGGTAACGGCAGACTCGGTGAGACTAAAAAGCTCAATCAATCAATTCCAACTTTGCGAAATCTTTTTTTTTCCTGTCAGAAATTGAAATTGATTGATTGATTGAACCTTTTTTTTTTTTTTGCACATGGCGGCAGAGGCCTAAAGCAAAAAGGTTTTATAAAACCCAGATGAAGGCCTAGGACTGAGGCAATGGCGCGCATGCCCACAGAGAGGGCTCTGTGTGCCACCTGTGGCACGCTTGCCATAGGTTCGCCACCACAGTCCTAGCCCATCTGCCTGCACTCTCCAGTGCCCACTTGTAGCCCCCACTGGTTTGCCCATTCTGTCATAGTGTCTAGTGGTTATGGTACCAGGCTAGACACCCAGACCCTGTGACTTCTAGTCCCACCTTAGGCATGAAAACCGACTGGATGACTTTGGGCCAGTCACTGTCTCTCAGTCCAATCCACCTTACAGGGTTGTTGTGAGGAAAATAGGAGGATGAAGGTGTATTAGCTATGTTTGCCATCTTGAATTATTTATAAGAAGGGAGGGAGAGAGGGGAGGAGAAAAAGAAAGAAAGAAAGAAAGAAAGAAAGAAAGAAAGAAAGAAAGAAAGAAAGAAAGAAAGAAAGAAAGAAAGAAAGATGGATGAAGAAAAAGAAAATCTTCCAAAACACTGTTTTAAATTAATTTTGAAGACTGGATTATCTCATTGGATAAATGTAATCAAGGGCTCAGCCAACATGAAAATTGGAGATTTAGGATAAAAACAATAGGTACAGCAATTAAGATAGGGGAGCTTACTGCCAAGTTTGATGGGTTTCCTCCTGTTATTTTTTACTTCTGATTTGGAAAAACCAATATATTGTGTGAATGTAGCCACTCTGGGTTAAGCATGTTGTGGAAACATTAGTCATTGAAAAAGAGTTCCAGAGAAGTTCCTGAGGTGGGGGAAAACCTTTTTCTCCCCCCACTTGGACCCTTTCTATCTAAAGCAGTGGTTCTCAACCTTTTTAATGCCGCGACCCCCAACCGGTCGTAAGTTGAGGACTATTCAACTGGTCATAAGTCGAGGACTACTCAACTGGTGCAGCACCGTTTGCAGAATGGGACTTTTGGCGGGCTCACCAGGGCAGAGGCAGCCTGGACAATTCCTATTGGCTTTTGAAAGCCAATAGAATTAGACTCTATTCAAGAGAGTCTATTCTATTGGCTTTCAAAAGCCAATAGAATAAAAGGGAGTAGCATAGCTAAGGAAAAGGGGAAAAAAATGGTGGACTGCGTTCTTTGGCGACCCCCGTGAAATGGTCATTCGACCCCAAATGGGGTCCCAACCCACAGGTTGAGAACCACTGATCTAAAGACACACACAGCTCAGTAAAAAATAAAAGTGCACAATCAAGGATGTTGTATAAGAATGCCTCAGCTTTGCAGCCCTTCTGATAGTTCACATTCTTTTCCTTGAGCACTAGGGTCTGCTTAACCTTAGCTCAGTGTTTCTCAACCTTGCTGACTTTAAAATGTATGGACTTCAATTCTCAGAATTCCCCAGCCAGCCATGCTAAACATTGAGCTAGTTGTTATGCTGGACTGTAGCCAGTTTACAGATTAAGCTACATAACCAAGCTAAAGCCCTCCTCCAATTCACAATATGGTTTAGCTCAGTGGTGGCGAACCTATGGCACGTGTGCCAAAGGCGGCACTCGGAGCCCTCTCTGTGGGCACGTGTGCTGTCGCCCCAGCCCCGCCTCCTCCTGCGGCCCCCTCCTCACCAGCAGCCCCCCCAGAGGAGAGTCGCCCCCAGGCACGTCCCGTGCGGAGCAACGCAGCCAAGGACATGGCAGCCAGACAGCGGGGACAAGACTCTGCCCTCACGCCCCGTCACGCGCAGTTGATGCTGTGGGGCATGGGCGGAGGGTGTGGCCGCCATGGCACTGCTAGGCCCCTGGGCGATCTGCTGCGGGCCATGGAGGCGGTGAGTGGCCCTGCGGGCAGGTGGGGCAGGGCAGAGTGTGGGCAGAGCAGAGGGTGAATGGGCCAGGGGGGCAGAGCAGAGACGGGACAGGGGGCGGTGCAGTTTTTGGGCACTCAGTCTCTAAAAGGTTCGCCATCAATGGTTTAGCTTATTGTAAATTGAAGAGGCATCTCTGGCTAAATTTTGTAATGGAGCTCTGAACTAGATAGATTTTTGACCTCACTCTGCCAGACTTTGAAACCTAGGGATGAAGCCTCCGTTTACCTGAAGTAGTCTATCTCAGAATACCAACCAAGTTCATGTCCTGGTGATGGGCTTCCTTGAGATTTCTAGATGTTCACCATGTGAAAAGAGACCACCTTGGTTACTTTTTCTTGTAAAGTCTGCTTCTTGTTTCAGACTCCACCAACTCTAGTGAAAATATGTACATGATGAACTCTGTTGGTCCTCCACCAAGCCGGCCTGGAGTAAGTATCTTCTTCCTGCTCACTCCCTGTTGCTGGGTGATATTCTATGACAAATTTCTTATTTCACCATGAGTGAGTTGGGCGGCCGTATACATTTTCTTAATAAATAAATACAAACATGAAGGGGAATGCTGTCATGCTTCTCCACCTGGAATCTGCCCTTCCTAATTATTTCTGTATTTCTCTTCTTTTCACACTCTCTGTGCATAATGTTTAGTTCTCCATGGGGCCAAGTCCAGAAGGTCCAATGGCGGGAATGAGTGCCATGGAACCCCATCATATGAATGGATCACTAGGTAAGTATGGACCTGCCTGCAAGGCTGGCCATGGACAATAAAATCCAAAATGACCATTGTAGTGGAGAAAGGAAGCCCAAGTGTATCATTTCAAAGGACGGGGAGGGGAGAATATTGTATAACTCTCCTCCCTTATTCCATGTCCTTGTTATTGTTGGATTCTTAGTGTCCCCTTATATGCTAAAAGAGGTCAAGTCCAGTAGAATGTGATTTCCAATTATTTTAGGGCACATTCCTAAAATACATTACTGATGTCCATTCAGAAATGCTTTGTCATTGGCTTCCTCTAAATGCTTTTTAATTTCCCAATGTAACCTCTAGATGTAAAATATTCTGATGGCCTCCTACCAAGTCCTGACCAACTCCAAGCTTGCTTAGCTTTTTGAGTTCAGCCAAGATCAGCTAGGTTCTGATTGAAGGAGAATTGCAGACCATTAGATGCCAGAATGCTAACTCTGAGTATTCTCTAGCTTTAATTTTGGCACAAAAAGATGAGGAACAACTTCCATGCTTCAGTATTGGAGAATTGGTGTTCCTGTATCAGGGGTAGTCAATTTTGGCTCTTTTATGACTCATGGATTTCAACTCCCAGAATTCCTGAGCCAGCATGGCTGGCTCAGGAATTCTGGGAGTTGAAGTCCATGAGTCATAAAAGAGCCAAGGTTGACTACCCATGTCCTATACAGAAACCCATTTATCTGTTGGTTATCAAGCAGGGATGTTGTGTAACTGAGGTTCCTGATACTTGATTTATGATTATTCATTCAGCAACCCTTCAACGCTAACTATGGTGCTAAATGAATGTGCACAGTTTGGATTCTAGTTGAAACTTATATAAGAACATAACTATTCCAGATAGGACTAGATATATGTTGGACTAGCTGTCTGAATTCAGGAGTAATAGCTTCCTTCATTCAAAGATGTCCTGGGGCTGGCTGACTTTTGTTGTTTTGGTCTCTGCTTTAAAAGCTCTGTGAAATGGCATGATTGCGGATGATCAGGCTTGCGGAAGTAAAACAATGATTGTGTGAAAAGGACCATATAGCTCTAGAATCAAGAACTGAACATTAACATCCCATTCAGAGGAGGCTTGAGGAAAGAAATAGGTTTTATAAGACTTCCTTAAAAACTGATAGTGATGGGAACTGATATTCTATACCTCTATAAAGTCCATTGACAAAAAGTTTTTATTGATAAGAATTTCTGTGGATTAAGTGGAGGCTCCTAAGACTTTGGCTGCCAACAAATCTGCTCTTTCCACAGAAGTCTTCCAACCTGATAGAGACCACCTAAGGCAGGAGTCTTCAAACTTGGCCCTTTTATGACTTGTGGACTTCAACTCCCAGAATTCCTCAGCCAGGCACGCTGGCTGAGGAATTCTGGGAGTTGAAGTCCACAAGTCATAAAAGGGCCAAGTTTGAAGACCCCTGACTTAAGGGCTGGGGTTTAACTGCCTTCGTTCTCATTGCAGGTCCAGGTGAAATAGATGGGATGCCCAAGGTAAGGGTTTGCATCATGGTGTCCTCTTCCAGAGGGTGAGCTGGAGTTCCACAGGCTCTGGGGACCAAGGGATTAGAAGGAGATCAGGAAAGATTATCTAGTTTTAAAGGGGAGCATGATTTTGTTTCTTCTCAGTGGGGCCCCCTCACATAGAATCTTACTCTTGAGTTTTAGGAATGAAGAGATTCAGTTGACCTCCCCAGGAATTAGTTTGCCTGTCATTGAAGGGCTGGTATTTGGGAGGGAACCATTTTATACTGTACAAAATCAGGGTCTTTCTAACTCTATCTGAATCACAATTAGTCCTTGATTTACAACCAGCCACTTAGCAACTGTTCGAAGTTATGACCAAGTCAAAAAAGAGGACCTATGATCCAAATTCAAAGTTTGTTTATTTATTTATTACATTTAGAGACAACCCATTATTCTCTGGGGGACTCTGGAAGTTGCAGTGGTTGGATCTCCCTGAACCAACTGAATTTTGGGCACTTAGCAATACTGCAAATGACTGCCTTTATGGCCATTTGCAGTATCCTAGGGTCACATGATTGTGTTTTATGACAGTTCTGCCAAAAACTGGCACTTCCAATTTTCAGCAAAATTGCTGCCATAGCAAATCATTTAGTTCGCTTAACAACCAAGGATTCACTTAACCAAGGATTTGTTTATCAACCACCACAAAAAAGATTGTAAAATTGGCTTGGTCATGTGATTAGCCTGTTTTGCAACCATTATGACGTTCAGTCATATTGGGCAGGCTCCATTACTCTCGTATGTTGAGGACTGTCTATAATTAAGCAGCTTATTTCTGTGTGAGAAAATTCCTACAACAACATTACTTCCCCTTGACCTAGTTAAACTGATTGTGCAGACAGAATCTAAGAACTTTATAAGGTCCAGAAACTTTTTAAAAAGCCAACCTTTTCCAGGTGATGCCTTTTTAACAATGCTCTCTATAGCTCTCTGACAGGGTGTTCTAATCATGGTTCAGGTGTGAATTGCCTGGGTTTTTTCTCTCTCTCTTTTATTTCTGATTCCCAAGAATTCCCCGGGTAGCATGGCCAGCATAGCTAACCCACCGGGCACCCCACGTGATGACAGCAGCAGTGAGATGGGCAGCAGCTTCATAAACCCCTTCCAAAGCGAGAGCGTAAGGGCCTGCGTGGAGCGGCGGCCGCGGAGGGGGCGGGGATCTCGGGGGGCACGCGGGGGGCGGGGCACCCTGTGGCAGGGTCGGACTGGGCTGTCAGTACCAACAGCTAACAGTGCCATCTCATGCTGGAAGCAGCAGCTGTCAGAGGTGTGAAGAGGGGGCCGGTGCCCCCCCTCCATGATGGACCCTTCCTCTAATGCTGTGGTGTCTCCCATCTGTCTCCCCAGTATTCGCCCAGCATGACTATGAGCGTGTGACCCGGCCCGGATGCCCAGTCCCAGAGGAGCCAGACTGATGCCCCCCAGGGGTCTTAATCCCCCTGTATTTAATAACAGCTTCCCTTGATTGCTAGTCTCCGCCCCCCCTGCCCCCAGTCTGGACTTTTGCTCCCCGCCCAGGTCACCGCCTGCCCTCTAACTGGTACTCAGTAAACTGTAGTGACGCGAGAATTGTCACTAATCAAGTGGGACAGCCGAAGGTTTGATATGCTGCACAAGTGGACAGTTATGAAAGGCAGGGAGCTGCACCCCCTCCTCCTGGACTGCAGCATCCCATACCCTGAGGGGTTTATGATGATCCATTGGACATTGGGACTGTCATCCACCGTGCATCTTTGGACTTTTTAAATTCTGCATTGTAGCAGGAACAGTTGTGCTGTTTGGAAAGCTTCATTTTGGTCTCTATTCTTAAAACTGGTGGTACAGTTGGGAAAAAGGCATGTGCATCAGGAAACATGGTTAAGACTCTTCCGGAGTCTTGAAGTTCAGCAGGAGGGCTAGAGGAATACACAGGGCCCATTTTGGTGAGCTCGGGAGGCAAATGGGGAAGGTGTGGTGGGTGAAAGTTGACTGCCACGAGCTGATTGAATTAAAAGTAAATTTGGAGGTGTGTGGACTTTGCTGGCAATGCAAAAGTTTTTGGGGCGTGGGCAGACTCTCTTGTCTTCGTGTCTGCAGTCAGCTTTGGTTTCCTGCCTATGTTCACTGGCTAGAAAAAAAATAGCAAAGTTGTTTCCTAATTGCACAGACTTCCATGGAAGTATTCTTGATTCTGCCCATATTAGTTGGCAGAGACTGTGTGATACCAGATGCTATTGGGGGGGGAGGAGATACCCTAATAATTGAACTTCAGGTGAATTTGAGCTTGGTTCCTGATGACTTCACAGAAACGTCCATGTTGTTTTCTTGGCAATAGCATGGAAGTATTTTACCATTGCATTCTTAGGGGATGTATTTTCAGCTTCCTACAGCCTTGGGATTGCCTAATGGTCTCCCGTTCTGGTACTAACCAGACTAAAATCTGCACAGCTTCCAAGGCTAGAGAAGGTCAGCCAGATGCTGCCACCAGCTGATCTACTAGTTGCTATGCAAAGACATAAATTATGATAGCAGTTACTGTTTTTCCCTGCATCATGTTTTTAACCTTTTTCATTTTTCTCTCATATTGGGTGTTTTAAACACCTGTGGCGAATAAACTTGGCTGTAAGGGAACTTTATGGCAGTCAACAGAGGTGCACATTAGAGATTTCCCCTGTTCTGTCTTCCATCCCTTTCAGCTAAGAAGGTAAAGGGGAAACGCTGTGAATGACTTGTAAAAAAAGGCTATACCTCCATCTCTTCCCAAATACACCCTTGACTGTCTCTTCAAAAGTCAGTCTTCCATCTGTCAGCTTTCAGATACCTCCTATTACAATTCCTGCCACCCATAGCCAGCAACTTTGGATGTTGGGAGCTGAAAGCTAAGACCTGTGAAGGGCATCAACTCAAGGAAGCCTATTATATTTATGTGCCAGTGAATAGAATACATTGGAAGAGATATAATCGTTTGGCCTATTCTCATATCTGTTATCAAAGGAACACAACCTTTGTGTGTCCTGTGGGATGGAGGGAGATGGTTTGGCCCTTGAACAGGGGTATCCTTTGAGGTTTATATTGTGAAAGTGGCAACAATGTGAAAGTGGTTGGCCTTTGCTATCTGGGAGGATTGACTTCCCGGTCTAGTCTATAGTACTGGAATGTCCTGAAGGCCTCACAGCCAAGTGCTAAGCAGGCCTAATCTACTTACCTTTTTTCTAAGAACCACTATGTTGGCAAAGGGCTGCCACCAGCGGTTACAAATCACAGTCCAAGCATGGGTGATTTGCTTGTGTGGTGTAGGCAACCACCATAGCTGGACAGCTTTTGAGCTCAAGGCAAGGGAAGCCCACCTTCTCCTTGATTATCAGAGAACTCTTCCAGCAGAAAGTTTACTCAAACATGTATCCAGAGTTTGTCTTCTTGTGTCTTAAATTCATTCAAGCTACAGAGGTCTTGACTTTCAGTGGTACTCCAAGAGTGCCATCATATTTTCTCTTTCCTCCTGTTTTTTTTCCCTCAAGGCTTAACACACCCAACTCCTTCAGTCTCTTCTCGTAGGACTAAAATTCCTATTTGAGCAGACAAGATCAAGAAACAGGAAGACTAAAACTATATTGAATAGGCTACAGTAACGGAATCTTGCAAGTCTGCCCATGTTTTCCCTTCTATCCTTCTTATACCAGGAGGAACCTGAACCTGAATCTTTTTCTAATAGTTCCCCACTTACGTGGGCTTAATGCATGCTTCAGCATCTGTGGTTGTTCTGTGGGCTACTCAGTGTCTTCTCCAAAGTCACCTCCATCGCACCCTACAGTTCCTGGCCCAACTGTCCTTTCCCCTACTTTTTTGAACTCAGTCTAGTTTGTTTCCATTCTTAAAACGTGGCATCAAGAACCAGACTGAACAATACACTATTTTTATTATTGTCATCCCCATCATCTCTGCAAGCTGAGATGCCTGAGCCTGACCTTTCCAGAAAATATTGGGATGTTAGATCTCAGCTTTGGGATCAGCAAAAAAAAAAAAAAGAACTGAGTCATTCTGGGTTGCTTGGTTAGATATGAGTGATCATTGCAATCCATAGGCATTCAAAGGGAGAAAGTGAAGAACATGCTTGAACAATACTCTTGCAACACAAATTCTGCCCCCCAGTATTTGATGTTCCTATATATTTTGGAATTGTGATTAGGTGTGATTAAGCATAGGTGCCTGTATTATTATCCACTAAAATAATCAGCATAGATCTTGGGCTGGATTTGAAATCTGAGAGACATGCTGGAAGAGGTCACATACAAAAGTGAGAACAAAAACTATTTCACCTTAATTTGACTCTTGATTCAAATGAACTGAAGACAATATATTGGGGCTTTCCATGTCCCTCTCCATTAGCACATTAACAATTAAAATTAAGGGACAGTTTTTACAGGGGCTTTTAGTGAAGTTGCAGATTGTGCGTTCCCTGCTTTAGATCTGCTAGTTCTAGATTTTCTGAAAAGAGAACGCTAGTTCTGGATTTTTCCATCAGCTCTTTCAAATACTATTCTTCACCATCTGTTTTTTTTATAGCCCACCAGCCCTTGTTCCTCTTACATAGGCTAGTGCTATACACTATAAAAAAAGTAGGCACTAAGCTTGCTTGCTTCATGTACATGAGAACAGCTCTGGCCACAGGGATCCAAGTATGAGAGAGCCAGATTTAGAATGGGTTTACCTCTCTGAGGCCATTACTATTTTACGAAGATCCCCTCTTCCCACAGTTTCAGCAGCTGAATTTAGGTAGGCACAAAGACACAAATCTATATATGTAGGAACAATTTCTAGCTGATTGCAACCTTTCTACCCAGCTCTCCTTGGATGCAGCTCGCATCCCATCTTTCCAGCGTCACTGGAATAGGATACTGACTCACTCTCCCACCCACCACCATCATTGCAGAAACTTAAGAACTCATGTAAGCGCTGTTTCTGTTGCCACCACCCTTAGGAGAAACAGGTACATTCCATAATAACAAGGCAAAAGGCAGAATCTATTTTTTTTCAACAATTTATATAAAAACGGGCTCTTATAATCCTATTCTTTCCTCCCTAGGGATTTTAGCGAGAAGGCAAGGAGGGCTCTTTCCGACCGTGTTCTCATTTCTGCCTAGTCACTCTGTAACTTCCAAAACCATGTTTACACCTAGCACTTCCATACCTTTGGGATGTGTGTGATCTTTTAATAGCAACTGAATTATATGTAAAGATTTGGGGATTTGGATTGTATATTCCCATTTGGTACAAAATTTCCTCCTCAACTTAACTTGGATCTGGGTCTGGGGGATAAATGTCCTCAATTGGTATCTTAATCAAATTCACATCTCAAATTTATAGGCGCAGAGAAAAATTTAAGGGGAGGGCAGGCGGTTATTTCTGCATCTCAGAATTTTGTAATATAGCTTTTTCTCCAAACTGCAAGGAAAAGCAACTACAAAAAATGTACGTAAGGAAAAATGATACGTAAAAAGTTAGGGCAAAATTTTACATCCAAAATGTAATTGTTCTAAAGTTACAAGTGACGCAGAAACAGAAGCAAATTAATTTGTGGCTGAAAAAAAATGAGGAATCAAATTCATATTCATAACTTCTTAACACTTTTGAAGTGTTGGGGTTTCACAACTTTTGTTCAATTGTAAAAAGTATTTTGGGGAGAAATGTTTGACTCTGTTCTTTTTTTCTGGTTTTGGGGTCAAACTTCTGCACAAATTTAAAGAATGGGAAAGAAGGCAAATTTGCTGCCTCAATCCAGATCCAAAGGAATTACAGCATCAGCTTGGGCTTTTTTTTCATTGTTATTCTGTGTAAATAAAATACCATTTTTGGAGGAAGTCATTGAATTTTTAAGGTTTCCAATGAGAAAACTTGCATCAATAAATGTAATTTGGATTTTTTTAAGAAAAAATGTCTACAAGTGGTTTGTTGTTTCCCATTCAGCAAGCAGAACAATCTGCTATCTTCCGTCAGGGGACAAACCCTTATATTGCTATGATAAAAACCAAGATTCAACTACTAAGCCAACATCTGGTGGCCAGATGCCAGCAGCAAGCCTCCTACAGGAATATCACATATTTTTCTTGTTTGAATCCTAGCACTCATTTTCAGTTGGAGTATAGGGGCACTGGTAGGGCAGAGCAAGAATAAATTGAATACAGTCTCTTTCTACTACAGCAAAGATCCTGCCACACTAATCAAGGAGAGAAGCAACCTAGAACAATTAATCAGTGGAAAAACCTGCCTCCAGAAGCGGTGAATGCACCAACACTGGAAGTTTTTAAGAAGAGACTTGACAGCCATTTGTCTGAAATGGTGTAGGGTTTCCTGCCTGAGCAGGGGGTTGGACTAGATGACTTCCAAGGTCCCTTCCAACATTATTATTATTATTATATCCCCCTGGATAGTCAAGAAATCCTTCTTTCTTGTTCTAATTACCAAAGGCACACCATTTCTTAATACTAAAGCTGTATTTAGTCATCCTAAGATCAGTTTGGGTCAATCAACAGATTCAGTTTTTTAAAAAAGGGTCCAGCAAGTTGTTGTCAAGTCCTAGCAATCACATAAATCTTCAGCAGATGGGTTTTTTTTCTAGTTGTCATTTTACAGGATATATTACATGAGTTTTCTATAGATTGTACAAACCACAGAGATCTGTATGCCAGTAGGGGTTGAGGTAGCCTTAGCCGACAATGGGAGATCGGAGGCTGATATCACAAAATAACCCGGCCATCTCATCTTTCAATGTGTTTATTCCAATGTCACCATTAAAAAAGGATAGCCAAATAAATCTAAATTTCTCAGCTAGATGAAAGGTATGACTATAGTTATATCTTATTTCAAACATTCAAGCGTTCAAATTAAATTTCATTCATAACAGGTAAGGACACAGATAAGAAGGTATGTTGCCTATCTCCAAAATACAGCTTTACCACTACTACATAAAAATCTAAGTAACCAAATACAAAAAAATGGGACGGGGTGTGTGTGTGTGTGTGTAGGAGGCAACTAGTCCAAGTTGTAAATCTGGTCTGGTTACCATGCAGTGTTGACTAAGCGTGGAGCATGCTGGGTTTCTAATTTTGCAGGTCACTTAAGTGAGTGGCTGTGGGCACTGGAGTCTGGGAGGCCATTACTTTCAATGGGATCCACAAAGCCATTCATGTGGGAGGCTGCCTTTTTAGGCGTGGCTAGCCAAGCTGGGGGCACAGGGGAATGGCCTTGCTTGGCATAGCTCCACGATCTCTGGGTCCTATATTCCAGCTGCATGTGGTTTTGTGGCGGGAGCCCTACACAGGCCCTGTGGAAGAAAGGAAAAGCCAGCAGGTTAGCACACCTTGCTTGCAAGCAATCATTCCTCCCCAACACACCCACGTTTTAAATCTTCAGTCAAAAGGAGACATAGGTTTTATATCGTGCAGGAAGAAAAAGGGTTTTCTACTGCTTATAAAATTCATGAATTAAAACTCTTGGCTGGGAGATCTATGGCAGAGGAGTAACACAAACTTGAAGGAGCACTGCCATAAAACAGTGCTTTCTAGCTTGTCAGAAAGAGTTGGATAAATTCACAGAAATAGCTCTTAACAATAACTAGTAACCATGACAGCTAAACACAAATCTATGGAGGGAGCTATCCAAGTATTCGGGCCTTGGGGAAAACAGGAGGGTTGTTGTCTGTCTAGTAGAAACAATGTGGGGATGGAGTGCTACATTTTAAGCTGAAGTTAATGGAGTTAGGGGATAGTGGAGGGCCTGAAAAACCAGAGACCTACAAGGAAGAAATGCAGGGGGTTACCATGGTGACTCGAACACAGTTCTCAGCAGACCCAGTCAAAAACAAATGCAGGAGTTGCTATGGTTACCTTCACAACTCTTGAGTGAGATGGGAGGTTTAAAAATGTGAATAAAAAAGAAAAGAAAATGCTCTTGTGGTAACAAAGGGCAGTTGGGACTGAACCTATGTAACCAGAGTCCGTTTGCATCTTCCACACTCTTGAGTTTAATTAAGCCTCAAAAACTAGCTTAAAAATTATGGAACTATGTACACACCCCAAGTTGTGTTTTTTAGCTGAACACCACCCAGAGCCACTCGGAGAGTCACATGGGAGGTACTTAAATTGGATAAATAAAGTGGAGTATTGTGCAGAGCAAATACAGATTTCCACTGCGATACAATCCATATGCAGCTGGCTGCTTACGGGATGTTATCCAAAGGGTTGTCGTTACCTGAATAGGTTCTCAATAGCAGCCCGCTGACGGAAGAGCGCGTTGACCACTGGAGCGCCTTTAGGAACAAGGGGAGCCTTGCAGAGGAAGCTCAAAAGGGACAAGGTGCTGTGAAGGCGCTCTGGTTCGGAGTCTCCTATGCCCACCTGGATCCGTTGGCAGAGCTCAGCCAGAATGACCAAGTCTAAGATTATGGGAGCAGCCAGTAACGAATCCTGCAGAACAAATCAGAATGCAACTTTGAAGGTTATTCCAATGTAGGAATATACATCAAGTTCCTAAATTCAGATTTGGCAGTTATTCCCTGCCTGTGGGCTAGGCAAGAAATGGAATACCTCCTTCCATATGGTCCTCCTTCCCAATCTCTTGAACAGGGATGCTGGGGAAAAAAAATCCATAATCTCCTCTCCAATGTAGAGCTTTCAGAACATGTCTGCCTCACGTGGAATCCTACAGCTGTGTACCCACCTCGCACACATTGTGAATGACGATGGTGTTGGTCCCCCCCAAAGCGATCTCCGAAGTATATTCATCTAGTGCCCGCTTGCTGTCACCAATGTAGGGCAGGTACTTGATCACCACCTGTCTGGGGAGTGTGCAGTGGTGTCTATGAGCAAGCAACAAGTAAATAATCCCTTGCAGCCAAAAGAGATGAACACCCCCAATGTGCACACACACACCACAAACAGCACTATTGTGCTCCAAATCACACCACTGCCTCTCACTCACACAGTGATCCGGCTGTTCCCCTGGTCCATATAGGATGGGGTTCGACTTCACCATGTCATCCACCACGTTGCTCTTGGAGATTTCCTTGGCGCGGAACTGAGCTGGTGCAGACAGGTTCCTTCCATCGTTGTTGCCCAAGTGGTTGTAGCTAACAATGGAGACTGGCTGTAAGGAAGGAAAGAGCGGTTGTTGAAAATGCAAGGTTTCTAGTCCTTAGTATGAGCTTTTGGAAAAAAATGAAATAATGCTTCTCCAATCATACGTATATTGCAAAGCAATGGCTGCTTACTTTCATGCTAATTCAGCTCAACCTTTGCATATAGATTTCAATGAAAAGGATACCTGAGGCCAGAGATCTCCCATGGTAATTTGTAGAATTCTGTTAATCTTTCTCCAGCTTTTTTACTATTCCTGAAATTTACTTACTAAAAGGAAAAGGTTTCAATTTCAGATGGGAGGTCATCTGCCTTGAAACAATCCTTTCCAGATGTGTTGACTATCACACCTATCATCCCCAAATTCAGCTAAAAGGCAATATGATTGTGGAGGATGGGAATGATAATCCAATGCATCAGGAGGATAGCAACAGCAATAGCACTTAGACTTATATATCGCTTCATAGTGCTTCACAACTCTAAGTGGTTTATAAAGTCAGCCTATTGCCCCCAACAATTTAGGTCCTCATTTTACCGATGTCGGATAGAAGGCTGACCCAACCTTGAGCCGGTGGGAATCGAACAGCTGGCAGATGACAGAATTAGCCTGCAATTCTTCATTCTAACCACTGCGCCACCACAGATACTAGCATGGAAAAAAACTGCCTGTGGTCAATCAGATTCATAAGAGATTTGTTCTATTTGAAATTGGCAAATTGGAGGTCTTGAAGTTCACACACCATTCAAACTACAATTATAAAATATTACAAGAGCAGCAATTAATGGCATTTAGCACTATGAAGAACATATTTATGTAATGTTCGTGGAGTTTCTTATTTTTTTACCCTGAGCCTGTGAATTCTTGCTTGGTTTGCAATATGAAAATGTATAAAGTGGTTCCAGCAAAGATCATACAGATAGTCTTCAACTTATGACTACAAATGAGATCTTAAATCCAATTATAAGTTGTTACAGTGACAAGCTGAAGCACCCATGTGATTGGAAGTGTTTTTCCATCATTTTTCACCAAGTTCTTAAGAAAATGCAGTAATCGTTTAACAAGTGTGGCAGTCATTAAGCAAATCCATTCATTCAAATGGAGTTTTTGCTAGAAACTGTCAAAAAACATGGTTTGCAACCATATGACTGCAGAATGCCTGGCCACTCATAAAAGTGACCAGTTGCCAAGCACCTGACATGCAGTCATATGATTGGGGGGGGATACAACCATTTATGAAGCTGGAGGGGTGGTTTAAAGGCTATAAAGCACCTGTCCCATAGCTGTCGTGATTGTAAGCTGAGAATTATCTGTACTACAGTTACACCAAAGGTGGAAAAATATGCCTCCTCCTCATGTTTGTAAAGTACTGTTCCCAGCATCCCTCACCATAAGCTATGAGGGGTAGGGTTATTGGAAGCTGGAATTCCACCACCTGTGGAAGGCCATGCATTACCCAAACTTACAGCATAACCAGCAAGTCCAAGGGTGTGCTCCATCCCACTGTTGTCACTCACCTTAATGCCAGAGCTGATGAGGAAGTCCACCAGAACGGACTTGAGCTTTGTCTGACCAGATTTGAAATCATCTCCGGCTATAAAGACTCCCTGCTGGATAGCAAGCTCAATAACTCCTGGCACAAAAGTGTTTTGGGGGGAGCCATTGATGTAAGTACAACCTTCCAGGATACTTGCCACAGCAAAGAGTGTAGAAGGAGAAACCTCCCGGCCAGCCTGGGGAAAAGCATCAAGAGGTCAATTGTTAATTTGGAGTAGGGATTTTGGTTTTAGTATCAACCTACAT